CCTGACAACCCATCGGCTCGTCAGCCTTATCGCAACCACCCCCTCCCCCCCTCCCATCCTGCGTATGCCTCCAAGAGATGGTTGTGCCTAAATTGACACAGTTGACTGCATTCCTTAAGTGAACGCGTACTATACTATTACCAGGGCCGGCCTTAGGCATGTGCCACATGTGCCTCCGTACAGGGCGCAAATTCACCAGGGGCGCCAAAACGTGACTGAATGTATGGAGCAATAATTGATTCCACCCTCAGTTTTACTTCGGAAAGTGAAAATGCCTTCTGTTTCGGCGTCACTTTGGACGCAAGGGATTGACCCCCTTCCCCTTCGGGGAGGTCGTTGTGCGTTGGGTGTCTCTTTGCAAAGGGAGCCGAAATAGCAAGTGCCGGCCCTGACTATTACCCATTTTCATCTGCCACTGCAGTTGATGGCCGGCCACAGCGAGGCTCATCCTTCAAGGGCACCCTTCCCCTCCGAAACTATGCAAACCACTCAAAGATTGGACTACTGGTGCTTCCTCTCCAAAGGCCTGTTCCAGGCGTTCAGGACTCTCCTTTGGGCCGAGTCCACTTTTGAAGTCATAGAAAATCATCGCTCGAAAATGTTCACAAATTCATGCTGATTTCAAAGAATCCCTGAACACGAGAAGTATAAAAAAATAGCTATAAAACCGGTTCAAGGCAACGATGAATTCTGAAACGTTTTGCATAGGCTTATACTGATTGTCCAAACTTGGAGAAATTTTCATAAGCAGGCCGCATCCGGAAACTTTCAGAGTGACCCTCGTATATGAAAGAAATCTTTCAGAACCATTGGATTCATTCTCAATTGACGCAGAACAAGCCAAGTCAAGTCTCTGAAAGTTGACTATTGTCCAGAATCGCTGATGGGAGGTCGGAGTCTGGAGGCTTCCCTTGACTCATAAACTACTATAAAGGTATCACATTGTTCACATAATATAAAAGTAAACGATTGCAGGGAGACCGGCTCCACCGTCTGCAGTGCACTTGAGCAGGTGTCTGCTTGCAACAGGGCCGACCTTAGCTATTTCGGCGTCCTGTACAAAGAGACTCCCGAAGCGCACCCACCCCCCTCCCCTCCCCCCACCAGCCCCCCAGAATGGAGAAGGGTCAATCCGGGTCAATCCCTAGCGTTCAAATTGACGCCGAAACGGAAGGCATTTTCACTTTATAAAATTGAGGGAGGCATCCATTATTGCTTCGTACATTTAGTCACGTTTCGGCGCCCCGGGTTAATTTTGCGACCTGTGCGGGGGCGCATGTGACACATGCCTAAGGCTGGCCCTGGCTAGCAAGAGTTAGCATGTTCTTAGGCCCCTTAGCTGTTCGGTAATCCGATTTCGCATTGCCAATTCGTATCAGCACAGTTGCCATGGATAAAAAAAGACACAAGGTATGCTATTCATAATCATGATATTCGCTAGATTTAGCTCGATGCAATATTGTTTAGGAGAAGTTCTGAAACTCGCAACGTAAGATATTCGACTGTCATGTCATTCTCTCTTCGACATTTCCCAAAAGCGGGACATTTGGGCGTCCCGCTTACTTCTTCGGAGGACACCGGGACATGCGGTCTGAAAATGGGACTGTCCGCCTAAATCGGGACGTCTGGTCACTTTAGACGAGGAGGAACGTTAGTTCTATAGCCCCGAAAATACTGTAGCCTGAAGCTGTTCCAGGGCTATAGAAGCGGGTAGGGGTAAAACCACCTAAGTTCGGACACTAACGTTTATTGCTAATAAATACATATTTGTGAGATCGACATCATAGAGAGTCCCAAGTAGTACGTAGGTGGTGGGCCACCACATACGTTTGGGGAAGAGGCCTACCATCGTTGTACCAGGTACATGTCCCACTTGCCAGTACTGGCCCGCTAGAGGACCAGCATATTACCAGTTAGCTCGTTTGTGGTGCATCACCAGCTGGGAAGGGCCCTAATCCCCTATGCATATCAGATTCACCTCAACAACTTGGAGTTTTAGCCTATTGGGAAGAGTCTCCATGCGTACCAAGATGTTAATATAGAAAAATGTAACCAATGCACTCAACCAGTCCCTAGTCCCATACACTTCTATATTCCCATGCTTAACTTCAGCATTTAATAACTCTCCGTATCTTATATTTCCATCAAAACATCATAATTCCACTCTTTCCTCATATCTGTTTATAAATTACACAATAAGGAGAAAAAAGAGAGGGAAAATCACTTTTGCTAAATCAGGAAGGCTGGCATTTCATTGTAGTAGTAGGGGGCATGGAACAGGGGTACCATCTAGTGGAGACTCTTCGTACTGGATCTGGGGGAATACCAACTACGTTATGGGAAGAGAGCTGGTGGCCCTCCACCTAAACTAGGTAGCGGGCCAGCAACTGCATATCCCACTTGCCGCCATGTTCCGATCCCGGCAGAAATCCGTCAGTATAGTGCCTGGGCCGCCTATGTCCCACTACTTTTGTGCTACTGGGGGAAGTCCATCTGAGGGGTCATATATCCGGTGTTGGCCCGCTGGCTGATCTGCCATTCCAATCGATACTTTTCCGCCTCCGACAGAAATCCGCCAGTGGGCGCATTCAGTTGTGACCCGAGTCATGACTCGAGGGTCTCAGTTCGACGCTTGCATTGTGGCTTCGAAATAAATTTTACTCCATGGTGGCACCTCTTGTCAATGTCATCAATCCTGGGTATAATAGCTTTTGAAAGGCGCCGCACTTGCCTAGAATCATGAACCTCGAGTCATGACCAGGATCACAACTGAATGCGCCCAGTATAGTGCCTGGGCCGCTTATGGCCCACTACTTTTGTACTACTTGGGGTCCTTCTTAACCAGATGACCATATTACTAAGCGAAAGACTTGCAGTATCCACGATCGTAGAGCACGATTTCGAAATATCGGGCAGAGATGAATGTCATGTCGCGGACAGGACAAATTCAAGAAAACGTACAGAGACGACCTTACTTGAGAAACGATTCCCATGTGGTATTGCTAATTCTATGATCAATCCTTATTACTTTCTTCGCCTTTGGCCGGAAATTAATATGGACTCAAGTATTTGATAAAGAATCACGCATTATCTGGATCAGCAAGCATTTGCCCATTTTTGTAGAAATTGTACACATCTCATGAATGGTTCCGAAAATGTTTTCAAAGATTATTTTCGAATTAATAACTAGGAGGCTGAGAAAATGAAAATGCTTGTAAGAATAGCTTCAGATTTATTTTCTCTGATGGAAACCAATACGGTAATACTGGAAATATATGCAAATTTGCACTTTCTTATGCCGAAGACGTGAAGACCTCGTGCAAGATAATAATAATAATAATAATAATTCCAACCACGTAAGCTCCGTTCCTCACTTGCCACATTCAGGGCCGGATTAAGAAGTTGCGTGGCCCGGGGCAAGTGAGTTCTTGGGACTACCCTCCCCTCCACTTCACGCAAATACTTAACATTTTTAAGTTCTTTTGGGGACCCTCTGGAAGAGTGGGGCCCGGGGCAACAGCCCCCCCCCCCCCCTTAATCCGGTCCTAGCCGCATCGTGTCCGAGGGAGCTTCCAGCAAACAAGGCTACGTTGGACCAACGTTGTATCAACGTCCCGAACGTTCATTCAATATTGATTCAACGTTATGTGTTTCAAATTGTTTGCAGGGCTCATACCTCTCTTGTGCAGGATAAAAAAAAATTCCAACCACCTAAGCTCATTCTTCATTTGCATAGAAAAAAAAAAAAAACAAAAAAGCATGGATATGCACATATTGCTTCAAAATTCAGTTCGTCTTCGTGTAGTTGGATCGCTTATTTTTAAGATATTCGTGCCTGCTGTTTTTGCGAAGTTGTGCTTGGAACGCTGGAGATCTGTGTACATGCGACGCGCACGTGGTTAACCCCGACAGGCTTTGAAAGGGCGGGATCAATGAACATATAATGCACATGCGCATTAGGAGTATTCGGACCCCATTTCGCTCGGACTGCATTTCGTATGACACCTGACGCAAAAAAGGAAGTATCTTGAGTTGTACCATTAAGGCGTTACGAGCGAATTACAATCCAATCCCGGCTTAGCTGTCCGAACATTGATTTTACCCCTGTGCAAAGATGCGGATAAGGGCCACAGTTCGGGCCTGAAAATCTCTGCCTGCTTCCACTGAGACTGCTTCATCTCTATTCTGTAGAACCAGTATGTCAACCTGGTGGCACAACGTGCACCAACGAGCCAGGCATGTGACTCACTCCACCAGGCCGAGCCCGTCTCTCAATGCCGCTCAGCACTCAGACAGCCTAGAATTTTAGACAGTGACTCAGACTGAGCGTTATCGACGTTGCTGTATAATGCCCCGCTCCGTGAAAACGAGATAGGTGATACGTGAGGTGCACCGTGGAGACGATTGGCAATACTTTCATGGAAGCCCAGTTCCCCTTTAGGAATGTTTTCCTCCACTACAGCAGTTCTCAACCTTTTGACAACCTCTGCTGATATACTCCGCGACCCTTATGGGGAGTTGTTGGCTAATAAAAAATAAGGCATTTGGAAAAACACCATGCATGGAAAAATAGTTATTTTTCTTGCTTCCTTGATCCTTGACATCCCAAATCAAAATCTCACATGTACCCCAAAGTGGGTCATGGCCTAGAGGTTGGGAACCGCTGCTCTAATTTGTGAGATGCTCTCACCATAATGAGATTCTCATTTTGCCCCCTCCTGATTCCATAGTTTCCCCCTTTTCCTTATTTTCATTCTCCTGTAGCATTTCTGTCACTTTTTTTTTCAATTTCTAATGGTTCAACCTTTCCAGAAAGTACTCATTATTGGTTGCTAGAGATCTTAGTATGCCTGTCTTTCTGGGTGATGTGGATGAAAATTAACTCATTGCTACTGTCAAATACTACAAGCATTGGTAGGTTAGCCAAGCCTTTGATACACTCAACTCATGCCCTGTAGAATCTGTCAATAAGGCTAAAGTTAGACATATAATACGTTGTTCTGTGATAGATGGATTTGGCCACTGGACTTGAGGATCTTCTGACATGTCCAATATGCTATGAGGCATTTGACCATGAAAATCATGCACCCAAAGCCCTTCACTGCTCCCATTCAGTATGCCTTTTGTGCTTGTTAAATATGGAGCGAGAGTCAGCATTACAAGTGGAATGTCCGATGTGTAGAGTTGTCTCTACTAAATCCTCAGAGTCATATAATTTTAGTGACAATTATGCCCTCATCACACTGATGGATCTGAAGCAGAAAGGCCTCTCCTTCAACTCCATTGGCAAAAGTCAGCAGGTGAGCAAGCCAATAAAGTTATTGGGCTGCAGACCTATGTCAGACTGCTCTGGCTGGTGTAGGCCTAGACCTGGCATACCATGTATGCATATGAGAATGTTTGTTTCATCAGTAGAGTGCATACATCTCTGTGGTTATATGATGACCATCCTACTTCAGTAATCTGGACAAAACCCAGTCTAGTAGCTAGGCTCCTTCAATAGCACTGCCATAAATTGTTAAGGTGAAATATTGGAGGATGTCTAAAAAGAAAAGGTAGAGCAGAAGGATACAAGAGGATGCCTATAGCATGCTTCATGGAATATACCAAGTGAGGCATAAAGAATGTGCTGCTTTTTATGTAATTTACTGTTTTTGACATAGCAGATGGTATCACAAAGGTGTTTTGTGGTAAATACTTCAATTCCTCCAACATTTTTGTGCCTTTTGGGCAGTTTTTATTCATGGGTGACTTACAAAAGCTACTTAAATTTCATTTTTTGTGTTCACACTGCAACACTGACCGTTTGGCCCATAGCACTGAATGGGAGTAACAATTCCTTTGAAGGCTTTTATCCCATTACTTTTTAGAATCTGTTGAACAGGTCTCTGAATTGCCTTAATATTTCTGACAATTTGACTTAGGCATTCCATCCCCTTTCTGTATCTTGAACATCACATGAGTGCAGTTTTCTTCAGTTCAAGCTCATTTTGATCTCATCCTCTCCCTTCTTCTCTGATGAACTGGGTCCATGTAGCTTGTGAATCATTCTGTTAATGGTGCATTTCTTTGATTCTTTACCTGGATGTTCTTGCCCTACCCCATCCTTTCTGAGAGTAACAGGCTTTAATCATTGACTCATCTTCCACAGACTAGCATTTTCCATGCACAAGATTGAAATTTTAGTTGCTTTTGCAAAGTTATATACATGGGAAAATGGCTGGATAGAAATGGACAGAAATTAAAGGATGTTCTGAGGATAGAGAGGAGTAATCACAAACAAAAATATTGTACTATCTGCTCTTTCATAAATGCTACAGAATTTCTAAGATTTAATGTTGGATTCCTGAATTTTAACTTCCTTATCCATGTTGTCAGAGCTCCCCCAAGTATTGGTTATTCCATGTCAATAACTGACTTCTAGCTCATTTACAAGCTACAGGCTTTGAATAAACACTTGAAATTATAATTATCCTCCCCTTTCTCGACACCAGCACATTGAAGTGAAGCAGTTGGGTATAAGGGGGGAGAAGAGATAAAATTTCCAAGGTACAGAGTGTGTCTGGCATGAAGCTGCAATCATAATGGAGATTACAGTGGCAGTGGAGTTATCTTTGATAATCCTGGGCACAAATGTGGCATCTGTGAGATGAAAGGTTGCAGCTACTTTTGTCTCTTGATCGTCATGGTTGAAGGCTGATACCATTTCTTGAATTAACCATTTTAAAAATAGTTCCACAGGCCATAGAACCTAAATGGAATGGGAGAAGGGGGGAGAACTTGGTAAAACTATACTATTGCCATGCCACTGGCTCAAGGACCACATTACAGTGAATGCAAATCAATTTTGAACATTTACTGGTTATTTAGTTTTCATTAATTTTGTATTTAATGGAGTTCATAATTTAAGTTGTCCTGTCAACCCTATAATACCATAAGTTAGTTTGCAGAAGGATTTTCAGCTAAATTAATTTCATATTTACTAGGTTTGTTATTTATGTTGCATGATATTATTCTTGTTTGTTTTTTAGATCCTGTTGACTGTATTTGCTTACTCTTGAAATGGAATATAACATGTCAAAGAGCAAAGGATTTTAAACATTGGCTCATTAATTGTACAAACTTATGATCTACCCTGTATAATAAACCAATATGAATGCTACATTAAGTGCAGTCCCAGGAATGGACAATGAGCTTTATATCCAGCAAAACAAAGTTAAGGACGATCCTAGGAATGGTACAAATGGATAATAGGCTATGAACAATGGAAATTATTTTCATGTAATGCAATGACTTCATGGACGATTGTACTTCCAGAGGAAAGAGAATGCTTGGGGGAATGAAATAAACAAGTCTTCTGCCTTCTGGCCTGTCAGCCCTAAAAAAGTCAAAGATATGTGTCTAATTGTCTTTTGAACAGGATTTGATTAATTCACAGTGCATTAACTTTATCAAAGGTAGCACAGGTTTTTGTAGAAACAAAATGGTATTTGGATTGGTATTAATGAAGTCTATGATATTTTAGTGTACAAAGTCAGTTGCATTTAATTTTTGCCTTGATCCTCAACCTATTTTTCTGGGTATATAATGCTCTGGTCAGCCTTGGCATTTCATGTGAGTTTAGAATAAGGAAAATAATCCCATCCCTGAATTTATTGTTTCAAAAGTACTAATGTAATGAAAGTACAATGACTATCATCACGTTTTGAGGAGGTAATTTACTGTTCTGCAATATGGGCCATGGTTCCATATGGTGGTCAACCAGTCTTTATTCTTGGTATATGATGGAGTATGATGGATCAAAGTTGTTGAGCCTGCCAATGCTAATGTGTTTTGATAACAATCAGAAGATCTAGTCCCCTTTCATAAGCAAGTATTGATAAACTAGGTGGATAAGATTCAGGGATAAAGTGTTTCAAAGTGTCTTCCTCTCTTTTTCAGAGGCTCCCCCTGGAAACTGGTAGTTCTGGTACCCAGGACCAAGCAGGAAGCCTCTTGAACCAAATTCCAGGTATTATCAGCAGGATAAAAGAGGGAACAGCCAAACTCTTAGATCAAGAGTTGGCCATCTTGGTGCAGCCATCAACTTCATGCTCTGGTGGTGCTGCTGAGGCAGGTGATTCCACAGGGCAAGGTATAGTTCAGAAATATGGTTCCATGTTTGATTTTTGGTGCTTTTCCCTGATTCACATGATTTAATAGGTATTGCTTGGATATTTTGCTGGTCGAGGATAAACTTATTAGCATAGGCACATTTGATATTTCCCAACAGATATATGATATGGAGCTCTGCCAAAGAGACATTATTACCAAGATCCATATTACCATATTTTTCCTAATGGCATTCATATCCATATGGGTGTACAGGCATGTAGGCAGCTGGTGTATGCTGTAAACTTGTCTCACTGATGCAGAAATTCCTTCAAAGTACTTCTTATTTATTTTCAGAGAACTCTGGGGACAATATTGGGATGTCTTCTCCTACTAGGGATACTTCTGCTCCATCTGCTTCTTCAAAATCCCATGGATCATCATCTGCTTCTTCCCAAAGTCTGCCTAAATTAACAGATGTACATAAAGACCTCCAAGCCATTTGTTTGCCAGTGAACTTGAGGAACCTCCGAGAGGAAGAAGTATGCAGCATATGCATGCAGAAACTCTCAGAAAACTCTGATTATTGTTCAAATGGTCCAATGTGTGCTGTTCAGCTGAATCGCTGTTTCCACAACTTCCACCAGGAGTGCCTTCTGAAAATGATGCCACAGAACAGCAATGTTCCCCAAGTGAGTATTGCACACTTGCATTTGTTGCTCATAGATGATTGATTTCCCTTTGAACAGACACTGGTAAACAGATGGGCAGATTTCACATTAGAAACTAGGATGCTGTAACTTTTCTATGGGCACTTACAGAGTTTTAGAATTCTGGACTCACAGGCTAATTCCATTTTCTCCATGGCAAAAGTGACATCCACATTACCCAATAGGGTGAAAAGATTGTTCATGGCTTCTCCCAGGTACCTGTGGACATGTTCAAGCTTGTGCACCACAACTTGAATGAATGTTTCTGAATCTGCCCTGAAATCACATCATCAAACATATGCTGTTCATGATTTCAAATATGAGTCTACAATCTTGAGTCATCCTGAAGGACAGGAAAATATTTTATGCTTCAACTAGCAATACTAGGCTGATCAAAAACGAATGGAACTTTCGCTGTAGCTCAAATAACACTAGTCAAAATTGTTGGTCACTCTGCAGGTGTCAACTTTGCAACTCATGGTAAAAATTTCATTGGTCTTTCTTTTAAGAAACTCTGTTGGTGATAAAAATAAATTGCCATGGTCAGTAATTTTTGGTAGATTTTACTGGAATGCCAGAGCTGGAGCAAAGGGCAAAGATGAAGCTCTGAAAATTGTTCACTGAGACTCTCGAGTTTTTGCAAAAGATGTATGCACAGATATCTGCAGCAAGTACCTGCTGTGCATAGGTACATTTGCTGCAAAAGCTCGAGAGTCTCAGTGAACGATTTTCAGAGCTTCATCTTTGCCCTTTGCTCCAGCACTGACATTCCAGTAAAATCCACCAAAAGTTACTGACCATGGTAATTTCTTTTTATCCCCAACAGAGTTCCTTAAATGAAAGACCACTGAATTTTTACCATGAGTCACAAGGTGAACATAGTTGACACCTGCAGAGTAGCCAACAATTTCAACTAGTGTTATTTGAGGTACAGCAAAAGGTCCGTTCCTTTTTGATCAGCCAAGTAGATGCAACAGAGAAGATTCCAACTTACAATAGTGAAATTTTGCCTTCTTTCTATCCCTTTTGCATTGTCAGAGCACATTTGACACTGAAAAAGTTAGAAATGTTGTTGAAGTAGCCAATTAGATACAAGCTTACTCTATTTCTCCTTCATCCCTTATGTTAGACTTCACAAAAGCACAGAGTACAGAGTGGTCCATAAGTTCCAATCAGTTATGATTATGCATACACATGATGGAGCTCACACTGATGTAATTGATTACCAAGGAAAGAATATTTGCCAAGATTGTTGCATTTTGTACTTTGAATAATCAATAAATATGTCTAAACTTATTGCAAAATTTCTACTCATTTTGATTTTTTTCTGACTTTGCTTTTATTATAACCGATTGGGACTTACGGACTACCCTGTAGATATGATCCAACATCAGTTCTTTTTTTTACCTATGACATAAGAGCTGTTCAGTGCTGTTTGATTTTAATATGAACGAGTTGGAATTAAAAAATTTTTTTATTCTACCAACTTGTTGAGGCAAACAATGAGGATTTGTTAGGAGGAAGGTCATGGGTAAGGACCACAATTTGTTAATTCCAAATAACATAAATGAAGAAGGCATTTCATGATCCAAGTTGAGAGGAGTAAAGGATAGGTGTAGGGGGGAGGTTTCTATTACTGAATGGGGTATATATTTTTTGGGTATTGAGGTGATGTGCACATTCTCTGCTTAGCATTTTGTTGCCAGAATCATTGTTTTCCTATTGTAATTGGTATTGGCAAGACAGCATTTAGAATATTTTACTCAATTTTGTAGCCCTACCAAGGAAAGATATTTAATGACAGGGAGGGTTCAAAGTTGGGATACTACATGCTGCTCTGATATTAATGGCATTCAGAGATATCAGAACAGAATTAGATGGAATAAAGGTTAGCAAGGAGGGATCTCTTTCAGTCATTTTTTTTGGATTATGGTTAGTTTGTTTGTTTTTTGCTTGAAATTTAGGTAAGACTTCTGGTACTGAGTGACTTTTTTACTTGCCTTGTAACAAATGCATGGAAAACATCAAGTGAAGATGTAGTGTCAACCTTTTAACTGATTGTTTGACTTTGACTCAGATGTCAATATGAGCAGAAGTACCTCTTGATATCCCCATCAAAACCTTGAACCCTGTTGCAGTGCTCTGTTCCCTCAAATTGGGTTTTGGCAAATTTCATTTATTCCTTGCTCTACTTCAAACATTACTGACTGAAAGCTCTTTCTGCTTATAAGCGATGTGCACTGCCTTTGTTTTGAGTAGGCCTGTGTTTTACAGTAGAAGTTTCAGTGCCTGTTTCTGTTTCTGTTGAGAAATTGTCCTTTTTTTTTTTTTGCCTGTGTAACACCAGCACTGCTACAGGTTTCCTTGACTATTGTTTGAAAGCCATGTCCTTATTGGTATATTCCTTTGCAGCAGGGGAGAAAGAGGAAGGGGTCTCCCATCACTTCAATCAACAATGCCCCAAGTGGAATACGTTGCCCTGTTTGCAAGTTTGTTTATGGAGAATTCCGGGGTATGCAACCACCCGGAGGCACTATGAATGTGCAGCATACATCTCGACCACTTCCTGGATATGGAAGATGTGGTTCCATCATAATTACCTACCAGTAAGTTCTCATGTTCATTTGTTGATCTACCTACAAAATGCTTGTCATAATTAGCAAGGGTATGGTTCTATTTGCTGGTATCTCTGGAAAATGTTTTAGCAAGCCAGTTTGTGCAAATATGCCCAAACCAGAAGCACAGGCTGACTGGCTAATGTTCATGTATTCTCATGGGTCACACAGCATCTCCCTCAGGAATGACACAGATTTAGCAGCATGGCTTTATCTACCACATTCTTGCTCCTTGTGTTTATATTGCATAAAATCTATTGAAAAATGCATAGTGTAGAATACCCACACATGGTAAATTGACATTATAATGACTTGGTTGAGTCCTGAAAAATCTGTTTGCATGAGCTTTTTTTCATATTGAACTTCTACCAAAAATATCTATCTAATGGCTTATCCAACCAATTCAGCATGATGTGATCTCAACAAATGGTTCTGCAATTGGCATTTTGCATTACTAATATAATAATGACCCCTCCCAACCTGGTTGAACTGCTCACTCATTGAGAACTTTGATTGTTAGGGACAAATCAACAACAACCTAAGTGAATGTAACATGAAATCTGGTAAAATGGCAGAAGCATTCTAAAAATTACATAATCAAGATTTTTATGAGAAAGGTATTGGAGCACCTTGTCAAACCCAAACATGACTCCTTTAGTGGCAAGATTTTTTTTTTTTTTGGAGATGCTTATTTCCATGTACAATATATTGCCAAAAGTCAAGGTCCACTCAGCAAATGATGACAGGATACTTTCATGCCACTGGGAGCCATAGTAACCAGTAACCATGTGAGTGCCAAGTAGCGGTTTCTCATTTTCCAGAAATGACTTATTGGCCAAGTGTAGCCATGGAAGTCTGCATCTCCATTCATGTTTAAAAAATAATTTTCCAAGTGTATAGGTTATTCTTCTAGCAAAAATATAAATATGGTGTTCCTGTACTTAAATTGTACTGTTAGCTATATCTGGATTTGAAAAGATGTAATGATGTAATGCTTCATCATTTCACCCACTTCTACTTAAAGACGCCATCACACATCATGATTTTGCTCATGTATGACTGATCCCATATGAGCTATGAGCCTGTGTAATCAGGGTCTATGAGTGACTCATAAACTCACATATAAGTGGGGTAGGAACTCATAAGGTTTGCGAGACATCCTTGACGTTCTTGTGGTCCCTCTGACAAGTGTGTCCCCTGATTGGTTGATATGGTCAGCCAACATGGCGCTTCTCGGATGACTATATCAGCTCTCTCGATTTTGGGTTCAGTGAGTGCCAGTAGTTCCATAAAGATGTCATGATTCATCCTTGGAAGAGCACAGAAATGATAGGGATCTTCCTTGTGCAATTCTGGGAAAATATTGGCTTAGAAACCCTTTTCTCACCTCACCAGCTGCTTTTGCTCTCATGTCTGGCACATTTTCAACTTTGCTGACATCTTCTAAGCTTTCTCAATGAAGTCCCTCCAACCAGTAAAAAAAAAAATTATCCAGCAGTCAAAATTTCACCCCCATATTCATACGAGGGCTGGTCAAAGAGTTCCTGGAAAAAGTGACTACTTATCGTCCAATCCCCACTATTTTTTCACTGTGTATTCTAACGTATCTTAATAGTTTTCCCTTCTAATTTTGGATGCCTGCATTAAAATGGAGGCGGAGACTTGCAAGCGCGCGAGAAGTGAAACGAGTCAGAGGGTCTTGCCACCCTTGACGAGCCGTGACAAATGCGTTGCAATTTTGGTGCAGTTTCGGTTGGGAAATTCGGCAGCACAGTGTTTCAAAACCCTTCAAAAGGCACTTGCGGACCAAGCTCCATCCAAGAGCACTGTCTATGAGTGGTTTGTGAGCTTTCGATCTGGCTCCTTGAGCCTCGACGACGATCCCTGTGAAGGTGGTCCAAATTTCATTGTTACTCCAGAGAACATTGCCAGCATGAAGCGACACCTAGACGAGGACCGGTGAATCACCACCAGGGAATTAGAAAAGCTCGTTGGGGTGTCACATGGCTCGGTCATCAAGATCCTGCATGAACACCTTGGGATGAGGAAGCTCTGTGCTCGTTGGGTTCCGCACCAGCTGAAACCGGATCACATGAAAGCTCGTGTGGACTTCTGTGAGTTCATGCTTCAGAAATTCGACGTGGAGCCTCTGAAGCTGTGGGAAACATCCTCACAGGTGATGAAACCTGGATATACTTCTACGACCCAGAGACAAAGAACCAGAGCAAGCAATGGGTTGCTGAACATGAAGAAATTCCGGTGAAGTTCTGCCGCGAATGAAGTGTTGGCAAGGTCATGGTCGCCATTTTCTTCTGCCACTGTGGCATCCTGCCACCTGTACTTCTTGAAAAAGGTGCCACAGTGACTGGGGAGTGGTATTCCACTGTTTGCTTGCTCTAGGTGCTGAGATCTTTAGAAAAACAGTGACCAAAAGCAAAGGACCACAACATCTTCCTGCACCATAACAACGCTCCGGGGCACAAGGCAAAAGTCACCCAATCATTTTTGACCTCAAAGAAATTGGCTCAACTTCCCCACCCGCCCTATTCACCAGATTTGGCACCCTGCAACTTCTTCCTCTTCCCAAAAATGAAGAAAAACCTGAAGGGGAGGCGTTTTAACATGCAGGAGGATCTTGTGAAGGCGATGGAAGAGGAACTGGAGAAGTTTTCAGAAGCCGATTTGCAGGACTCTTTTTCTGCATGGTTTGGTCACATGAAAAAGTGCATCGATCATGGCGGAAAATATTTTGAGAAGTACTAATATGTTGAAGAAAGTGTCCTGAAAAAATTGGCGAAATCTGAGAACAATAAAAGCATTTTTCTGAGAATACATTGACCAGCCCTCGTATTCCATCCCAATCTAGACAAGGCCACAGCAGGAGAGGAACTAAGCATACAGCAGACATTGTCCTAAAAACTCACAAGGTCTTCTGATAGCACCTAATCACCTGCTCATAGTACCCATCTGAGAAGGGTCATATACGAGCAAAATCATAGCATCTGATGGTGCCTTAAGGTTTTGCTGTAGCTGTAGCCTATTTGTGACTGCATTTAGTATGATTGCAGCAAGCCCTACCCTTTTATCTGTCTACAATGTTGAACAAAGGCTGTTTTCATGTATATGTTAGACTTGCTTTTTATTGAGAATGAAGTGCTGGCATAATGCAGTTAGTAGAGCCATGGATATTAACACCCAGTCTCTGGCTGAATCAGGAAAAATTCCTCCTTTTGTGTAGCTGGGACCCCTAACAACCAAATCTGGTATTTGTTTTATTTCAATTCAGAATGCACCAAAGACTAGTCCTAGATTTCCTTGTTACTATGGTGTTGTTCCTCATTGAAATCGCCCCAATAGTTCTGGAGATTGAAGAGGTGGAAGCCAGGATAGGTTAGTGCTTGATCATGGGTGTGGTAGTATTGAATCACAGAGTTACAAAAAACACATTCATAATGATGATGAAAACCCAACCCACAACGCTCTTCCGCAACCTCTCTCTCTCTTTTGTGTTCGCTCTCTCTCTCCTTTCTCTTCTCTTGAAAGTTAGTACTGACCCTGCTGTGGAACTTTCAAGAAGTATAAACAGAAGTTATCTGGAAAAGAGGAGGCAAGAAACCTTGGAAGCATGAACAGTGTGCACTTCCTCTGAAAAATTTTTCCTCATTCAATGACAATCTTCAAAATGATAGCACCCTGGATATCACAAGACATCCAGCTTATGTCTGCAGATCCTTAGATCCTGTGGACATACTGCAGACATACATCAAATGTCTTGTGTTACTTGAGACACAGAACTATTCCAGAAGTTTGTGTTATGGGGAATCCTATACTGCAACATCCATGAATTGCTTTTGCAGAGAGTTCATCCTTCTCTATCCTTGGAAAATAAACATTTCTCCAAGATGACTTAAAAGGCATTCATAAGTGATGGCTCTTGAGATTCCTGAAAAGAAACAGAATATGACAATAGAATAGCCCATATTTCTGATCTCGTTCATTTTGGGTCAACTATCTGTCCTGGTCTGATTTAGCTGGAGATTGGGTACTAAATTGATGCTGATTCACTTAGCTCCTTTCCTTCTTTTCTTCTGTTTGCTTAGTTTTATTTGTTGTTTGGTTTGAAATGTTACTAAAAGAGAATTTACTGCTTGTAGCATTCCACCTGGCATCCAAGGCCCTGAACATCCAAATCCTGGAATGCCATACAGTGCTCACAATTTTCCAAGATTTGCCTACTTGCCTGATAATGAAGAAGGGAGAGAGGTAAGATTTTTGTTCAACATCCATAGGCATATTGTAATTTTTAGTCATTTGAGCTGCGTTTAATTAGTGTCTATTTATTCCATCTGTTTAGGTATGTGGCCTCTTGAAAAAGGCTTTTGATAGGGGACTGATTTTTCGTGTGGGCACATCAGCCACTACAGGGGAAAAAGATGTGGTTACCTGGGATACCATTCATCACAAAACCTTAGTCTCTGGTGGAGCTTTTGGATATCCAGACCCCAAATATCTTGAGAATGTCCGAGAAGAAATTCATGCGTTGGGCATTCAATGATTCTACAATTATGCTTTTTTTTTCAAGTATGGGTGTTGATTCCATGGGTAACATGACATTTCATTGGCAAGAATGTGATCTGCTATAGTATTCAGATTGAACACAGACTTGATTCAGAGATATATATCAGTGGAATCACTGTGATTTGCTTTTTGTTGAGACTTAATTTGTGTATTACTTATTTCCCCCTGTTCTATATAGACCAATGCTGGTAATAGCCAAATCCATGGATGCTTTCTTTTCAATTTGCTTCATTTTTCATTTTCTGCTCTTTAATTTGAAGTAGGCCTCACTCTTTCCATATAGTACAAGATATTCTTGGACTCATCTGTTTCATAACCAATATGTCAGCATCAGAGTCTCAAAATTCCAAATACTGTTATCCCATTACTGGTATTACATTTGTAATGGGAGTTTATATATTTTATTAAGAAATTATATTTGAAGATAATTCAAATATACTTAACAACTATCACTGAATCAACTGAAAAGTTCATAATTGCCTTGCCATGCCTTGCCTTGCAAGATCTGCTGTCACTCAGAACTTTTTGGTGTAGATATATCAGAATTTTTCAATATCAACATTAATATATCAGCATGCCAAATGTCATGAGAATATTTTGAAAATAGGCTAACATCCTTTGTCACTGTTGGCATCATTGAATGATGGTTAATTTCTCTCCTGTTTCATATGCCTTGTGGAAGTAATGGTAACGGCAAGGTTTTCATTGAAAGCAGAAGCTTGTTTGCACGAATATGAATCATAATCTGATGTGAGTGAAGTGTCTTCACCATGACTTATTAGTTTGGAACTCAAGTTCCATGCACAAGGCAACTGTTTTGTGATATGAATCCATTCACTGCTTCCATGATGTGTAAACACATCATGCCCCAACTCTTGATATGTGCTAGCTTCACATGCTAATGCATCATGATTAGATAAATTTCTTTTTCTTTTAAATTTATTATTATAGGAATTGCATTTTCATTGTAATTTGCAGCAGATTAAGTCAAAATGTTCATGTGACAGACTATTTTTCAAATTAATGTGCTAACTCCCTGGCAGCAGGGAATGGGTTAACTTATGTTCAATCTGGAATTCTTGTCAGTTGTTTGTCCAATAAAGGGAACTGATCATGCTTTCTGCTGCATCACCTCAACATCAGTCTTCCTTTGAAAGAACTCAGGACTGAATTTACATCCTGCAAAGTCAGCTAACATCAATGCTTAAAGGCAAGTTATTTTCGTCTACAGCGTGGTTCACAATACTTGCTACACCCTTATAGTGTAACTTGATAGGCTTATGTTTGATGCTAAAGTTCTGTTGAGAGTATTATTGAACACAATATTTTTCATTGCAAATTTCTAGATATTGACTGGATAATTTTGAACAAGAATGAGCCCTTACATGTTAAATATCATTGTTTGGCTATCGATTGTGAGATGTAGGAATGAGGGTCCAACTTTCAGCATGAAGATATTAATAGTAGATAAGTTAGGGGGAGATGGTGGTGACTTCTCCCCAAATTACCAACAGCCTATTTCTTTGAAAAGAAAGTTGACCCTCTCATCTCTGGCAATCCCCCCAGCAATAGCCAATGGTTTTTACCAAGCGAAAACTCATTCTAAAGAAGATGAGCCACATGATCAAACTATCTGCAATGAAGAAAATAGTTTAATAACATTTGTAAAATAATTAAATCAAGCCTAAACCTATATTGCATTGTACTGTAGGGAAAAGGAGGCAAGTATTGTTGGCCACACTTTATAATGTAGCTAATAGTTGTTCAATGACCTTGATCAGAGCTCCATGTGATACATGCGTGATAAACAGTCTGTCTCTTCAATATCTTGCATGAGGCACTGAAATGGAAGCTTGAGGGTTCAGTTTCTTCAATAATATGCTGGAATTGCACATAAAAATCATGCACTTTACCTGATGACACCCATGCTACTCTGCTGTAGAGTAGGGACTGGCTTTCGAGTCATGGGAATACTCTTGTTTTCCAGAAGGATGATTGATGGCCTAAATACATCCACAGGTGTTGGCAGGGGGAGGGATTGCTCAGTTCTACATATCCTCAGTCTCTTTGTATCTCTGTCCCCCCCATTTGTCATTCAACTTCCTTAACCTTTTTGCGCACCCTATGCCAGATAGGGCATCAGGACTGAAAAATGTTTTTACTTATTCTATGTGTATTTCATTCATAAATGCATTCATGAGGCACTTTTTCTGAAGTTATGGATTAGCCTAGACGTTATACTCGTAATTGTAACTGGGGCAACTAATTAGTTATCTAATTACATTTTATGCCTTAAAAATACAGGGTGATCGTGAATGAAGTATCCCACAACAAAGCACTAACATACACGTGATTTATGCAATGGTAGCGCCCAGTGGCGTATTTTGGCTGCTAAGTCGGGGGGGCTAAACCCAACCCGAGCGATATCGGAGGAAAAAAAATCCACCATTCCAAGAAAAATCAGCGCTTTCCCCGAGCTTGAGTGGATGTTGACCCTTTTTCCTCGTTCATTGCTCGAAATTCCTCGCGCCGATCATGACGATTTCTTTATGGTTGGAAGGTCACTTAGTTCTCCTTCATTTTGGACATCATACATTACGACTCGTGTAGGAATTTCGAAGGGGCGATCGGGAAAAAATGGTAAGGATCATCCAGTCTGCTGCCTCTCCGCCGCTCAGTTTTTTGTAGTTTTTTTTTTCTGGAATGGTGTATTACCTCCAAGATGGGGGGGGGGGGCGACCAAAGACCTTATACTAAGAAGACTGGGCACTCTGGCGGCGCCTTTGATGTCGGGGAAACCTCCTGCCCTGGTGTTTGGCCCCGGAACTACGCAGAATTGACAAATGGGATCATTGGATTAGAATGTCGCGTGAAATATCTGGATCCAAGTACTGCACCTACGCACCATGCCAGGAGAAATTTGGCCAAATGGATGGAGATGTTCCGTTGCATCGGTTTCCCAAGGATCCGGAAAGGCACGCGCATGTGTTCACCTAGGGCTTTGCACTAGGCCTACGGTCATGGCTTTACAATATATGTAACAGGCGGATGAAGTAAAATGCTGAGTAACCTCAATGACCCAAACGAAAAGGTCAACATTTTCGCGTCTCGGATTGACAGGCCTGTTAGAATGGGATGACTTCAATTTTGAAGGGACAAAAACAGGCTGTGGGTGCAGCTTTGCTTTGGATTTACAGCCTTACGTTCCTGGGGTCCAGTTGAGTTACAGCTGGCTTCTACTTGCACACGTTGCTGGCAGCTAAGCCAAAATGTTCTTGGCAATAGATGAGATTGCCATTGTGATTCAGCGATCTCCAGTTCATGAAAATAATGCAGTTCGTAAATTAACAAAAAAGAAACTGATTCCTTGCTACATAGGTAATCGACGTAACATGCATCGTCTTGCAATTCTGTCTGAATTCAAGAATCGTAGCACCCCCCCTTCCCGGGAGTTCCTCCGAACATTGCTTTCCCCCCTCTCCTCTCCATGGTCTTCCGCCAGCCATGTCAATCAGTCACGCGCAATAGAAATGTCGTCAGACTTCGTTAGTTCGAGGGCCAACCACCAGGGCTTAGACCGCCATTGCGGTTACCCTGCTTTCGCGCAGTGTCCAGTCTTCTTAGTATAAGGTCTTTGAGGGCGACCACCCCCAGTAAAAAATACGTCACTGGTGAAGCCCCGATGATAAGGTTTTTAGGCCCTGGAATTGATTCTGTGTTCCACTTGCCACGCCTGTGCTATGGCATTATCATACACCCTACAGTTTAGGCGCAATAGTGCGCTGAAATTGGATACCTTTATAATCACCCTGTATCATCTAAAGTAGCGATTTATTTGTATATTAGGTAAAATTGGGAATGCCTTATGCAAAAAGAACCTATAAAAGGGCAGGAAATAATATGAAATGAAATATTTAAACTTAGCCCCTCTTCCAGAAATCTTGTATACGTCATTGCCAACGCCTATTTCTGAGCTCTTTATTATATATGGGAGAAAAGTAATATGATGGACAGCATACAGTCACTTTTTCGTTTGCTTTAAATAACGAGAAATAAATAAGACCCTATAGGGTGACCATGATATAGCGTCGAGGGAGAGTTGGTTGGGAGAGCAGTCAGGATCATCACACCTGCTCAATTGGAGGCGGTTCTGGATGTTTGCTAAAAGGTTGCATGCATGTTTTAACGAAGATGGTAGACGTGTGGAAGTGTGAGATGTATGATTTAGTGTGTCATATAAAAACTTATAAAGTAACCTTTGAAATTATGCATATCGCATATTTATACGGTAACCCGTTCCCAAGATATACGAGCATGAAACCCCGCAGGGACTTTTCACCCCCTAACGTTATAGTATTAGATCGCGAGGGATAGATCAGGGTCCGAATGCGAAACTTCCAGTTCTGCAGTTTCAGTTCAGATCAGTATACCTTATTACCATCTCTTGATCACGTACCACTCGGATCGATCAAGTATGTAATTTAGCGAATTTTGGTAGGCCTATATGTAATCGCTACTTTTTCAAGTAAGTTTAAGAAGTCGTGCTTAAACCTTCAGTCGGAATACATGCATCCAAACATGTCAGCTTTCTTCATCACAGAGACGATTTGACAGCACCCAAAACATTTAACTTTCCCCAGTATGTTTTATAGTTTCCCATTCCTAAAAGGCATTACTTGTCCTTTGTATAAAACTAATCAGGGAAACAGTATTTTGACAGATTTGAGGCACCTAGGCGACATCTCTGTTATATGCTATGTACCTAGGATTTATAGTCATCGCACACAGGTCGCCCATGCCCTTGGGAAGATTCCCATATCTTTTACAGGCCACGTCTCATACACTCAATGCTACGTATGCTTCCAAGTCTGCGCTTCACGTAGTACGTCATGCGCGACGTCGCGTGGTAGGCCTCAATATACAGGGTGACCGAGAAATCTCATGCGTTTCGTAACCGACCACTATCAATAATGGCACTTATGAACAACATCGAAGAGTCTGTGTTGTCCATTTCCCGTGGGAATCGAAGGAAATTAATTGCTTTTATGTCAATGAATCTTCAGATTCTGTAATTTTGTATTTGTAACGTAGTGCGCTTCGTACTTTCAAAAATGCAGATTTTGTGATTACATGAAATGGTATCACTACATCTATGTCACCCTGTTTACTTTCTAGGACATAAAATCTTATGAGAGGATGGTGTTGATTTATGGATGCGCTATTTTTTCTGCATGAAGCTTAACGCATTGACTGGCTCGGCAATATTGGCCTGGTGACTTTCCTACTCACTGAGGCGCACCAGAGCGCCTCGTGGCGGTCAACGTGTTGAGCGATCGCCAGACCGTTTAGATTTTCGTCACGTAAGCGAAATCTAGCGATAAATCTGTTTCCCTTTCGCGAATAGTCCCAACATTCAAAGCCTTGCCTCCGTTGAACATTTTTGACAATGTTAGCTTCAAATGGACAGGCCACCGTTACGTCACATTGCGGAACCACGTTCCGCCTCTTCACCGACGTTGGCGCTACCTTGGCTGACCGTACGCAACAATGCATACCTACTTCCTACCAACGCTTTGCCAGCATTGACAGATCACATGCACTCGACCTTGCTCACCTTATCCTCGGTGCCAAACTACCAACTTCGGCCCAATATTGGCAGCACACATGTAACCTACATCGCATGCCCACTTTCCACCATTGTTGGACCAACATGACCAACCCCCTTCCACATTCAACCAACCTTGCCTACATTCAAGCAATGTAGGCTCAATGTTTCATGCTATCTGGGCTCTTTGCTTCACTTGCAGTTTGCCAACATGCTGGCTAAAAGGGGAGCACTGATTGTGATAGAAGGGTTAGATCAAGTTGGGAAAACCTCTCAAGCAACCAACCTTGTCGAGAAATTGAAGCAGCTTGGACATCCAGCGCAGTTCATGGGGTTTCCAGGTGAGCATTTTAACATAACTTATGTTCAGGTTTCTTTTTTTTTTATTTTTACCCGAAAGAGCCCTAAATTTAAGATGTTCATCTACTTTTAGCCCTTTTACCTCTTCTTAGGAGACAGTTCCCTTTCTTAGTTCTGGTGCTTTCTCATGGAAATATTACCTCAAAATAAAGAAAGCTCAAAATAAAGCATTCTTATTACGGCCCGTAATTATGAGGTGGTTTTGCAGTTAATTGTGAATTTTGTCGACTCTTGCATTGCATTGTTTCATTTTTTCTGTGGTGCACTCGACTGAGGAAAAAAAATCCTGCAAGAACCATTCAACTAAACCTAGAACCTTGTTCGTTGCATGATGATCAATCGTCGGTCCATCGTGGACATTACAGAGCCAACTCACGACCTTACGAGTATCAGGCGAGCAAGGCAAGGTAGCGAGTCCTCTCGCCTGCATTTTGATGGTGCTTCTCTCAACAGAAAGAAGCACGCCGGTGGGGAAGATGATCGGAGAGTACCTCACGCGTTCCAAGGATCTCAGCGATGAGGCTATCCATCTCCTCTTCACTGCCAACCGCTGGGAACTAGTGTACGTTGCATGGTTCCCTCTGATTCCCTTTCTCCCTTCCTCAGCAACAGGGGCAAGTTGCATAATGTTTTGGTGCCTCTCGTTCAGTCCTACGCGCACGTAGACACATTAGGCGCCGTAGTCATGGAAATTTTCGACGCTTTCCATCAAAATCCTGGAGATGCACGACCCCCTATTATCACAGCATCTCATTGGAGGCCCACGTTGGCTATATCCCATCTCGCTACAACTGTGTTTTATTTTCGCAATTACTTACTACCATCCTACGAGACCACAGTCAAGAGTGGGAGAGGGAACGCGACCGAGAACATTTATAAGCGTAAATGACCCTCGGTTCTCCAAAATAGGTTACTGCTCTCAATCTTTTGCCAATATGAAGGAAGGCATTTCACTCCGTCTATTATAAGGGTTGATAGGTCCATAGGCTTTGTCAATAATCGGTTTATATTGGAAACGAAAGTAAACGAGAGTGAAGGTGTCCCAGTCGCTGACCATTGAGAAGCACCATACATTTGCCAAGAACCTCTAGATCCGAGGTCGAGTCTTGACATTCACTGTCCTTCATGTAAGTTCTTGGTTCCCTTCTAAGGCCTGTCATCAAGCAACATCTTCGCGACGGAACGAATCTCGTGGTCGACCGATATTCCTTCTCGGGCATGGCATACAGCGTGTCGAAGAAGGTCAGTTGCACTCGCGATGGCTATTCGATGAAACCTTCCAGGTGGAAAGCAACACTCGTTGATTTCAACAGGGCTTGAACATGAGCTGGTGCAAGGGCCCGGAAGTGGGGCTGCCTCGACCAGACCTCGTTCTGTTCCTCGACATCCATCCGTCGCGATTGACGGAGAGGGAAGCCTTCGGGCAGGAACGCTACGAAGATCTCAAGTTCCAGGAAGCCGTCCGAGAGAACTTCAAAGCCCTGACCGAGGACTATTGGCAGGTATGTCATTTTGAATGCATGGGACGGCCGCTCTTCTCCCGATGTTCCGAATCTCCTGAATAGCAAACTTGCAGGTGGTGAACGCGGATCGGCCATTCTCCGAAGTGGGACAGGATCTGTTGGAAGCTGCGATACGAACCATTGAATCTGTGCCGGGTAAACCCGTCCTTCGACTCTGGGCCGATGGAGACCTTTCCCTCAGCTGAGACTCGTCTCCCCACTCGAGGAGCATCCGTCTTCCAATTCATAATAAAAAAGATAGTTTTTCAACACTGCATTTTTTATCACAAAAACCAGAAAGTGCCGTGTTTCACAAGGCAGTTTCCAAATTGCAAGGAAATGCAGATATGGGACGTAAAAAGTTACCAGTCCACGCAGAGTGAAACTTTAACGGGTCAAAAAGAATGTTATCAGTAGTGAATCGCTCATTCTCTGCAAGGTTGTCGATTACCTCGTTCATTCGAGGTTAGCAGATATACATACATTGACTGGATTGCATTGAAATTTGGTACTTAAACAAAAATATAATGGAATCGAAAGTTAGCGGTCGGGCGTTCAAATAAATTGAGCCAATTTTCCCTCGCCTGTCTTATCGAGCATGGAGTAAAACCCAGGGCGTAAGGGGTGACAAGTATGAAATTTGGCAGAGTGCGTCTTTGATGCTGATGAGAACCATCGCGCGAGTGAGAACGGTTCGATCACGGCGGAGATTCATCTCGGCCTTGCACTGCGGTTAAGAACGCATCTTTCGTTCCCGAGAAACGAGCTACTTAGTTTTTTCTGACGTGTTTATCCGAAGGGCTTCGATCGTGCAAGGAAAAGAAAAACCATTCGATCGTATAAATGCAGGCTTTTTTACCCGTGAAGCGTGAGGATCTGAAATCGCTGTTCCACGAATGGGAGACCTAAGAACCATCTTTCGATTATGTCACTCCAAACTCCCTCGGGCTTCCTTTGTAGCCGTTGCCAGGGTTGGGTAACGTTACGAAAGGACGCATAGTAACAATAGTTGTTCTGCTTCATTACGTGATAACGTCATATGGAAATCTCCCCTGGTATTTGTACTGCTGAGGATGTGCTGCTGTTTTATGAACACCAGCGCCATCTCTAATAAATTTTTGGTTGAACCACTTTTTCTTCCTCGAGTCACAAGCCGCAATCTCGACAAAATGTTCATGCGGTGACAGCTTTGTTGTACCGAATAGAATACAAATTCTCTCGCTGGTTTCGATCGAGGTTGGCTTCGTGAAAGATGGGCGGACGGGGTTCGACTATATTCGTCTCTGTCGATCTTTTCCGGTTGGACGCGATGAGAATGCGTTTCTCGGGTCATCCCAGATGGAGTATGCAACAATGAAAAGCCTAGATCGGGTCTTCTTTGTCGGTGATCGAATCCACCATAGAAGCCCAGTTTCCCCTCGATCGGTTCTACTCCGCATCGCGGACGCTCTCTGGTGATCCGATCGTTCCGTGAAACCCATTCTCTCTCTTAGGGTCTCTCACTTCATAGGTACGACCCGGTAAACGCGAGGAGTCCAGACGTCGTCGCATTCATGGACACGATACCGAAGGACGAAAGCGTTCCTTCCTGCAGGTGCTCCATGAAGATCGAGGTGGTGTACCCGCTGACGGCGTTGAATGCGGCGGAGTCGATTGAGGCTTCCGACCCCCAGCCGGAGGGATCGTCGAAGGCAGAGAAGCCGGACGGCGAACGGAAGGGAAGACGGGGACGGAAGGGCGCAGGGATGAAGGGTCAAGAGAGTCGGATCTGCGAGTACTGCGGCGCCGTCTTCTCGCCGGAGAGGATCCGCTGCTTCTACAAGCACATGAGGGAGCACCGTCGGGCCAAGGAGCAGGATCTGCGGTGCACGGAGTGCGGTAAGGAGTTCCCGAACCGCAGGAGTCTCAAGTATCACTTCACCGTCCACTCCGACGAGCGGCCGTTCAAGTGCCCCATCTGCGAGAAGACGTTCAAGAAGAAGTTCGTCCTGAAGAGACACACTCGGACCCACACCAACTACAGGCCGTTCGTCTGCGGCGTCTGCGGGAAGATGTTCCAGGTGAGACTCTTTTTCCTTTCCTCCCGCCCTCCTCCGACCGCCCGGTAACACTCGAGATTTCCCCTCCAGGTCCCTTGGAACTTGAAGGTGCACATGAGGATCCACTCGGGGGAGAGACCCTTCCACTGCGAGCGATGCGGGAGGAGCTTCGCCTACAACTCCATCCTGAAGGTCCACAAGTGCAAGCCCGGGCCCGGAACCCACCCACGAGGCGGCAACGGCGTCGACTGCGATGGCATGTGCCAGAGGGGCGGCGGTGCCGCTTCGGACATCAGTATCCTCCAGGCCAACGGCATGCTCATTCAAGCGATCCTCAGTCGTGGAAGCGTCTGAAATGAGTCCTAGATCGCGACAATAAGCGAGAGGCAAAATGTGCAGTACTGAGAGACGGTACTGAAAATTTCTTAGGTTGCTTCGCTGCGCCGACAACTTTCGGATACCAAACTTTCTGTGTTCATCCTTCCTAGTCTGTTAGCGACATTTTGTTTTGTTCCATAGTGATCCCGTAAAAAAGCAAGTTTTATAACGTCGATATTGCCCGAACACCGGAACGCGGGTGTTTTGTTTCACGTTTCCCCCCCCCCCCCCCCCCCCCCTCTAGANTTGCCCGAACACCGGAACGCGGGTGTTTTTTTTCACGTTTCCCCCCCCCCCCCCCCTTTTTTATGGAATGAAGGGAAATTTGCTTTCTTTGCCCGTTTTCACTTTCTGCTATTCCAATATACTTTATTTTCCTCGAAAACGATTGGAAGCGTGCGAGACGAAGCAGCTGCAAACGACGAACGTGAACTTGAAAACCCGCCTCCCAGCCGTGGGCGTGCACATCTGCTGCGTGCATGCGCCCACCATCTCGACTCCGAGGCCACGCGAAGAAACACTCGAGTGTAAAAAGGAGGAGGGAAATGGAAGAGATTGGACGGCGCTGAGGGGGTGATCGGCGAGAGCGCGGGACGAGAAAGCGAGAAAAGTGATAGTAAGGAAGACCGGAGTGGCCATTCCCAATTTCATCTCCACTCGACGCGTATCGCCACCTCCCTTTCCGGCTTTCATCGTCCGCTACCCCCCGAGTACCGCGCATCTCGAGCCGCCTCTCTGCATTACTTACGTTCCCTGTGTCCGTGATGTTCGCCGTCATCATCCTCGCCTCCTTCATCTCCCTCGGTGAGAAACCTCTCCTATATAATCCTCGCCTTCCTGATCAACTTGAGATGCAAGTTCACGTTCGCTCTTAAACTCGAATCGACCTCGCACATTCGTACAATCGACACCGCGCCCCCTTACGAATTCAACCACCCCGTTGACCGAGTCGATCCCGCGACCCGCGCGAAAAGCCCGGGATCGAAAAAGCGACCGAGCCGCCTCGAGTCCCCCCAGCTTCTGCTCGCGCGTTTTCCCCCGCGTCTCTCGCGAAAATCCCTCAGAGATTTCCTTCAACCCGCGACGAGAACGTCGCTTAAAAAATGCATTCGCCACGGCAACTCGGGTGCATTCACAATTATTGCGGACCGTGAAAAGAAAGAAAAAAAAAACCTAGTTCCGCTCGCACTTGGATTCTCGGGGGCGTATCCTCTCGGGAAAGGCGCCATTTGCATATTCACGCCCTTTGCTCTTGCGTGTTGTCTTGCGAATACGACTCTATGGACCGGTTCCCAAAGAATGGAGTCAGTTTAACATTGAAATAGCGTCGTAGAAAGTGAACCCTCTTTCTATGTTTCAAGTTAGAGTGTTACAGTCAACTCCTATTTATATATATATATTTTGTTATTATAAAAATTTCCCCGATGCCGATTTTAATTTGCACCACGCACGCAATAAATTGAGGGGAACCTTTCCGTGTTACTTCTAGGACCTTGGGAAACGCGATGAGGTCGAGGTTTCATGACCGGCTGAGATTTACCGGACTGCACTTATACACATTTTTAATGGTTTTCTCGCACGCAGAGGCGAGACCTCACTCGCCAAGGACGCGCGAAGCCTCAGAATTAAAGAGAGAGAGAGAGAAAAAAAATTAGAATTTAATTATGGAATTTTTTAAAACCTTGCCCGATCGCCATCTCGGAATCGAGGCGTCGGCTCCTCTTTCCCTGGGGAATCGGGGCTCCGTGCCATCGCAGGACAGGGAGCATCAAAATGCCAGATGAAACTTTGCGGGATTCCGTAGGTCAGTGGTTCCCAGACTTCTCTGAATCGCGACCCACTTGCTGACGTACAGAAAATTTCGCGACCCGCCGAAATCCAGAACGAGGTATTTTCCAAGTAATTTTGACGAAGAATATTGACCGAATTTTGCTGCAGGGCGTGTTTTATCCCGAGCTGATGCGGAAGTAGTGATTTTTTATTCTGGAAAAATGTACGCGACCCACCTTGATGCCTCTCGCGACCCACAGTTTGGGAATCGCTGCCGCAGGTAATGGGAGAAAATGGAAACTCCCGACGCAGGACGGTCTGCAGGACGGTCTACGGGCGGTAATGCATCAGGGACCCAGATGCGCGAGTACGGATACGGGCATCTGTCGAATGCAGTTCGCTGAATCCTTTCAGGGTTGTCTTCCCATAATTTTTAATTTTGATGCTCGTGTTTGCGGGCTGTAGGTCGGCCCACTTTCTGGAGAAAAGCAGCTTAGTTTAAGCGGCTTTTCTCCAGCGCACGTGATCGCGCGCCGTTCACGTATCGTGCCGTCAACTGATAGATATTTGCGGTTCCGAAGCGGTTTTTATTTTTCGACCGAAAGTATTCGAGACGCTCTGATGCGCTCTCCGATGCTCTGATGCTCTCTCCGATGCTCTGATACGTCTTGCCCGCGTCTGATGGGGGCAGGAAATCACTTCCTGTTCGTTTCCTCCCCTTCCGTAATGGGGAACACCCACCGCGCACCCGGGCTTGTTACGGTTCCGACGCGAATTAATCACCCGATCGCATGTTTTGAATGCGAATGAGCTTCGACAGTTCGCCTCCGTCACGTAGTCCGTCGATTCCGTTTCGGCACGGTCCGGCCGACGCGAGAAAGCGCAATTCTGGAATTAGAGCAGCCTCCCTGCCATCCCTTTCCGCCCTCCTCGCCGTCCCTTCCCCGCCTGCGAAAACCCCGCGAACGGCCCCCAGTCACAGAACCCGGACGAACCCCTCCCGTCCTCGCCCCCCACCCCCCCCCCCCCCCCCCTCCCCCCCCCCCCCCCCCTCCATATCGGTCTTCGCCCGTACCGAGGAGAAAGAGCAATTTGAAAAACCATCAGGAGGGGAATTTACTTTTAATTTTCCGTCGCGGCTGACCTCGTTCGGACTCGGATTCTCTCTCTTTCCTAGAAAGAGCGGGAAAAAAGTCTTCTGCGGTGGAGGGAACGATTGAGAAACATTAGACAGGGACAGGGGGGAATTAGAGAAAGATTGCATAAGGGCATATCATCCGTTACGTTCATCGGCCCCACGGGCTTCTCTGGCTCCGAGGAAAACGCCGGGGAAATAGGGGGAAAAGGAAAGTCTCTCCGCAAATAATTATCGTCGTCCACCGACCGCCGTCTGAATCAAAACCGCATTTTTTTTTTTAAGACTCCGTTCGTTCCAATGGGAAATCCCGGCTTTCGGTTCTCATCGAGGGAACTCTGCGGAATTCTCTCTCACGTTGGAGTATTAAAAAGTCGGCCGTCCGGTCCGCATCGGCGTTACCTCATAAGATCGAGGAGCGACTTTTAAATTGGGGGTTCGAGGAAACCGCAGATTTTTTGTTTATGGAGACGGAAACGAACGGCGCGGGTTATGTCCGGTCCTCGAGGCGTTTTGGCCGGTCGCGCGACCCGCTTCATCGAACGACGGAACGCGCGACTGCAAAAAAGTCTCTGGAAATTCGCATCGGAGGGAGAAGCGATGAGCGGGGGGAGGAGGGGAAGGAGGAGGGGAAGGAGGAGGGGGGGAGGTGAGGAGGAGGGGGGAGGAGGGGAGGATTTAGTGGCCTTCCGAGTCTCATAAGTGAAAGTGCATGCGCGGGGGGGAGGGTGGGGGAGGGGGGAGAATGGTCGCTTCGCCCCTCATCTGTTAAGGGACCCGCGGGGGACATCTTTTCAATTCTGCCTGTTTCCTGATGCGACCTGGAGAGTTGCCGTCGTGTAATAAAAGAGAAGCGGGGAAAAAAAAGAGGGAGGGAAAAGAGGGGATGGCTCCATCGCCGAGCCTGGAATGCGGATCGGCTGAGGACGGTCACGAAAGTCGTCTCGATAAAACCGATAAGGTCTCATCCGGGAACTAAATCGCGGATCCGAACGGATGAGTTGAGAGATGATTGATGCCCGACGTGACGCGGTGTCCCCGCATCGTGACGCGGTGTCCCCGCATCGTGACGTCGCGCGTCCCGGGCGGACGATCCGATTTCGTTCTCGCCGAAGCTCTCGCGATACTTTCGCGATGCCTTCGCGATGCTCATCGACGGGCGTTCGCACGTATCGTTGCAGGGAGAGGACAAGAAGAGAAGTTCGTCTGCCCCCATTCCTTCGGCTTCTACCCCCACGCCCGGCAATGCGATCTGTACTGGGCGTGCGAGGAAGGGGTGGCGGAACTACGGATCTGCGGGAACGGCCTCGCCTTCGACGCCAACGATGACACCAGGGAGAACTGCGACTATCTCTTCGCCGTCGACTGCGCCGGGCGACGAGAACTCGGTACGACTAAATGCTTCTTTTTTTTTTCGTCTCGTCGGTGCGGCATCTTCCACGGTCCGATCTCGTTCGTCTCGCAGAGCCGGCGATCAGCACTCGGAACTGCCCCCGCCTGTTCGGGATCTTCGCCGACGAGTCCCGGTGCGACGTCTTCTACTCCTGCTGGAACGGAGACGCCGCAAGGTAACGGAAAAGTGCCGACAGGATGATGAAGACGTAGGGCGTATCGTTTTCCGACCCCCCCCCCCCTCCACACCGCCCCCTTTTTTTTCTTTTCCCCAAATAAACGCGTTTAAAGGGCCCACGCTCCACCGTCGCGTGAGAAGCGATCGTCTCACTCGCCCTTGAGCAAAATAAGCATAATCACCGAGTTCTCCCCAACTCGCGAAAAAAAAGGGCGAGAAAAAGAGAAAGAGAGAGAGAGAGAGAGAGAGAAACCATCTGAGTTCCCTTTGAAGGTCTTCATCGTCCCACTCCAGTAATCCCATTGAAACTCCCTTCTCCCCCGACGACGAAGAGAATTGTCGGCCGGGGACCCGCCGCGGATGACTCGACGCGTCTCCTTGTCATCTTTCCTCCCCCCCCCCCTCCCCCTCCCCCCCCTTCGTTACATCAAATTCTTTGGATTCAATGTCAGGTTCACACATGGTAAAAGTGAAATCGCGGAGAGAGAAACCAGGTAAATGGGATGAAGAAAGTCGGGTCAGCCGACTCTTCTGCTCGGCAGCATGTCGACGAAATCGACATCTGGCCCGTTCCGTCCCTCATCGCCGAATCTTTCCGAGCCCGTAGTCATGTAGTGCTTATTTATATGCATCCGTGTTATCGCCTTTTTTTTTTTTCTTTCGGACAGGTACCAGTGCCCCCCGGGTCTGGCATACGACAGGAACTCGAGGGTGTGCCAATGGGCAGACATGGTGCCCGAGTGCAAACCCATCGGTGAGTTTCGAAAAAAAAAATTTTTTTTCTCGAGTGCCCTTTTTTTTAAGTCTCGGTTCCCAACATCAGACGACTTGTTGCGACATCGTCGTATTCTCAGGAAGAGGGGGGGGGGGGGGGTCCGTCGTAGAGCCATTCCCTCTAATTACGAGGGTACTTGATGGATGGTGTTACTCGTACTCGACCTTGTGGGCAAGCACTTCCGTTCTAGCGAAGCGGAAGACGCAACGGTCCAGGATAAACTCAGAGAAAATAACCTGAAAATAACTTGAAAATGCCCCCCCCCCCCCTCCCACAGATCACGAATAGATGGGAGAAATGATTCAGGGACATTAGGGTTTTCCCATGCCCTTCTCGAATGTGAGGGAAAGTTCGGGGGTTGGGGGGGGGGGGGGGGGGGGGGCGGGGGGGGGGGGCGGGGGATCATCTCCGAGGGAAAGACAATTTTCCGAGCAACGTCGCTTACACTCCCACACTCCATTGTGCTACTTCTGACCCCATTCTAGATACCTTTAAACAATTATTGCGAGGTGTTGCACTAATAAGCATTTCGGACACGGTCGAGTCGTAAATTCTCTCTCTCATCTTCTGGCCGTTCCACGGAAGGGAAGGGGAAATACGGGGAAGTACGGGGAAATACGTGGAAAAGGGGCCAGGAGCCACGCTCGATCGGTCCGGATCAATGAATCCGGCGGGAAAGGCTCTAAAATGTAAATCGTGCTGGACTCGCGGTCGTCCGATAGAGCATTCGAGTGGCGAATCGTGAAATTAAGTACGGAAAGTGGTTTCCTGTGTCGAGGTCGTGACGGAGATGTCTTCCAGAACGGTATGGTACTTGAACAAAATGGAGGTCAGGTTTGCTTTTTTTTTTTCCCCTTCCACGATCACGGTCGCTTCTTCGCGGGGATCCGTGATCCTCCTGGCCTTCTTACCGACGGAAAAGAGTTTAATCGGGCGACGAGGATCGAGCCTTCGCGTGCGGATTCCCCCGGTATCACCCTTTCTCCCCTGCCCCTCCCCCCAGACAGGAAAGACGGGTTGAGCTGTCCGGCAGGGGACAAGGCGTCCCTCGGCACGTGGACGAGTCATCCCCATCCGGAAGACTGCCGCAAGTTCTACATCTGCATCGGCGGGGAGCCGAGGGAGATGGGATGCCCGATGGGGATGGTGTTCCGGGTCGGGGATCTCGACAACACCGGGCAGTGCGACGATCCCAAGAACGTCCCGGAGTGGTGAGCTTTCCTCGCTGTCGAAAGTATTCCTTCCATCCGAAGGGTGTCTCCGACATTTATAGTGAGGAATTAGGACGGGTTTTCTGTTTAACCCATTGCAATACGAATTTTGGTGGTGTGCCAGCGGTTATATATGCGAAAATTCGCTTTTTTTGCAAGCAAATAAAGTCTTTGAGATTAATAAATTTGCTTCGTAAACGATTTCAGCAAACTATCGAGAATCGACTACAAGTATCGAATGGGGAATGCGTCTAGAAAATATAGAACAAAAACGCATGTTCCAACACGTTGTCGGGCGACGAATGTACCCGTCTTTTTACTGCAATGGGGTAAATTGCATATAGCAAATAAGAAAAGATACGTTCCGTTGGAATATTATGCGATGAAATTCCCGTTGTAGGAACCAACCATGGATGTCAGTGTTGTTACGACTGAATTATTGGCAACTAAAGGCAGATGGATTAACCCATGAACGTGCTAGCTGCAGTACTGCAAAGTCTTCATGACCCAGACGAGCCTCGACGCGTTACGTCATCAAATCCCACTCGGAGCGTTTTAAGAGACCGCATACAAAGCCTCATAACGGCGAACTCATCTTTCCACATCCGTGATGATCTCATTTCCTGCCCCGATCCCATTCACAGCTCGGATTACTACGGGAGCCGAGACCCCCGGGAGCTCCTCAAGAAGCACCTCCAGGGCAACAGCGACTACGACTACGACTACAACGGAGGGGAGCAGGCGACGGCGCGAGAGGAGAAGGCGACAGCGCGGGAGGAGAAGGCGACGCCGAAGAAGACGAAGAAGAAGGGGACCGTAGCGGCACCGAAGAAGACGACGGAGGTGCCTTCCTCCACACCCGCCAGTTCGACTTCCAACCCGGATTACGACTACAATTACGACCTCACGGAGAAGCAGGTACTGTCTGGCACGCACGGAGGCGACGGTTCGACGATGATGGAGCGAGTGGGCCTTCGATCAAAAGAAATGGAGAGGGGCCTGCCAAGACCCGTCACGTTTTCCTCTCTGTCGACGGGGACGGGTATTTAAAGCAGACAAATCGCCCAACGTTCGTGTTCCGTTCGAATAGTCGCAGCTGCTTTATCGTCTGGGTAGTCTGCCCTCTTTTGCTGTCAGCGGCAGAAAACTTGTCTTTGATGAATGCATTGCAATAGATGAAGTTGCATTCATCGATAATTATCAATGATCTATTCAGAAATACTCGAATATTCAAATGGTGGCATCGAAGGCATTCGTATTCTTATTCCCACGTATTCATAATGTAGACTGAAAATTCAGATTCGTGTTTGAAAAGGGAAAAATGAGCCCATCCCTCCTGTTACCACTCTCGAGTTCTTGAACGCTCGACGACGAATCGATAGATACCGCCCCGATAGCACGAGCATGCGATCGACCGTGGTCGAGACGAAGGCCAGGACTGTTTCCCGCACTTTTTTTTTTTTTTTACGGATCCTCGGCCGCACGGGTGCTGCGAGGCGGAAAATATTGGCCGTTTTTGGCGAAAATGCCACTTCGCGGAGAAATTGGGATGCTTCGATTGCTGTTTCATCTGTTGCACCATATGGTGCCGCATTAATTTAATGTAAAACCCTTGGAGGCATCACTCTCACTTCGCGACCTACTATTCGGTTCCAGGTGGTGCTCAAGTGCTACCGAAACGTTTTATCTTCTCCCTACATCTATTATATAGTCCGATAATAAATGTAAAAAAAAAACCTTGGAGATTTCTGGATCGAATGGCAAGTGCGAAGTGTGAACCTTTATTATACTACACGTGGTCAGATAGGGTGGAAGAGTTCTACTTATTGGCGTGATTATTTACACATTATTCAGTATGACTAATTAGCATACTTTTGGACTAAATTATTTTTTTCGACGAACCCTAAAAATTCCTGGGAAATTCTAGTCGTAAAGTACATTTTCTTGAGAAAAAAAACGTTGTTTGTGCAAGTAACTAATTTCCAAATTAAAAAAAATACAGACGCGTTCTGCGAAAAGCAGAACACTCTCCCCAGAATTATGACGTCCCATGCGTCTATATATATATATTTTTTTTTTCCTATATTTATTTTGGAAATAAGTGATTTTGAGGAAATGAAAAAAATATTTTTGTGATGAAATGATGGTGATGATGAATGTATTGTCTGTGATTTTTTCTAAGTTTTTTTTTAGCTCATGGGAAAAAGTTTGTTTCAATTATAATAATCAGAAACACCTAATTACTTAATTGCATGCAAGCCTGCAATTAAGCAATATTACATTATGAAGTTCCTCCAGCTCAACCCATCCACGTATCGCTTTCTAGGTGTGTTTCATCCTCACCATTCTCTCCTGTGCAACTCAGTAACTCCAATTTTGGGACTCCAACTCAGTAATTGGTAACTCCAATTTTTTTTTTTTACATTCCTGCAACAGACGTAGACTACCAGAGTGGTAGTAACTCCCAAGTTTGAAAAGTGTGGTTGCTATGGGTCATCAATACTGTCACAATTAGTATGAAGGGCAGTGACGGAAGAGTCTCGAGACGAAACAATTCGGTGCTTTTTTGTTTGCCCCTCTTGCCCGAATTTATTCATTCTGGATTCGTGGAAGGAGTCGAGATTGAGAGATGGGAAGGGGCGCGGAGACAATTCGTGGCCCCGTCGGGGCAGTTTACGTTTGCACCACCCTGTATGTTGCATTTTTTGCCTACCTGATCCCTGATACCTGATTTGCATCCCTCTTTCTTGGCTACAGTTACAGTGGTGAAGCAATTATATATGATTATATATGACAAAACAGCAAATTTAGGAAAGGAGGTCAAAAACCCCCCATGTGATCGCTCATCCATTGCACCCCCCCCCCCCCAAAAAAAAAAGCCTTTTCTCGGAAAATTGAAATCTGCCAATTAACCCCCTTGCTTTTATGAGTATCCGCGGTGGGCCGAGAGCTACTTCGTCGTGAAACTACCATTGAAAGAAGACCAATCGTTGGAGAATTACAAGGGGGCGGACCTTTTTTTTCCCCCTCTCTCTGAACTCTTTCACCTCCATCTAATGGAGCTTTGGATCCCTGCAGGAGATGGGGACGAACACGATTACGCCACCAGATGCACTGCTGCATAGTGATGATCATGCGTCTCTCTCTCTCTCTCTCTCTCTCTCTGCATGCGGTTATTTCCCCGTGTCACAACCACTGGATTATGCCTTGGCCTCCCTCCAAAGAGCAATAAAGATAGAGAGAGAGAGTTTTCACCCACGGGATTCATCTCCATTGGGAATTCTCTCTCTTCCCCCCCCCCCCCCCCCTCCCCCCCCCCTTCACCTCCTCTCGTTTTCAACATCCTGAAATTTTTCACGGGTTGTCTACACACCCCGTCCTCAGAGTCCTTCCTCGAATCCAAAATGAAGCGCAAACAAGAAAGTGCCATTTCACTCCAGCCATCTCGTTAGTCTTCCTCCTGACAGCAGCAACGGCTTGTAACTGCTAGACCCGCTTGTACCCTCTCACCGATTGCCGGAATAGGAAGAACTTGCGGCATGCCGCTCGCGGAGTAAAGATTCCTGGCACGTGACCAATCAAACTAACTTCTCTGCCCTCTACTCCGTCGTAACTTAGCGAGCTTTCATTTAATGGCCTGTCTGAAGAGAGAGCAAACACCGATCAGACGCGATTAGGAATATGATCCTTAAGCAAAGGCCAAAACGTAGTGCAAATAGGCGTGACTCTGCCACCCTATTCTGGATTCCGTAAAACCCACGTCGAAGCTCACGGCGCTTTGCAATGCCTATCGACGAGTAATACGCCTTGCCTCTGCCAACTCCAATGTTACCTTCTCTACATGTCAGATTCTACTAACTTAATTTTGGACGATTTCACCTAATATGTTTCAGCGCAAGAGTCAGGTTTCTGCCCTAAAATAAACATTTAAATCCTCTTTGTAAAACCAGTTCTTAGGTTTTTATGCCTCAAAATCCGTTCCTTAATAACGGCACTGAACATTTTCCCGCCTGACCTTTTTTCCAGTGAGAGCGACAGTCCCGAGGAAGAAGGCGTGAATCTGTGATCTCTGTGCCTGCAGACATCAAAAGAACTGTTCCTTCCATGGGCGAAAGAAGTGGATTCATTTTCTCCCCCCAACCAGTATCAATGGGCGAACTTTTCCCTACGATGGAAACCATGCCCATTTTTTTGAAGCAGCAACAACGTTCGAGGTTCCATCCGGCTCATTTTTGGATCCACTTGCTCAAATGATTTTTAGGATAATTTTTTGTGCTCCTTTTTATTTTTATTTTCCTGAGTTGAGTCTTAGCTGAATGAAGTTCTTCCTCGCTTGCTAGGACCGAGAGTAGAAATTACGCTTTTCTGTTAAGCATCGATTCAAAGTGAGTGTGTCTGATGAATGCGATTGGAATTTTGCCGGCACCGAAGAGGAACACGCCCAAGAAGAAGCGCCTCGTGCATCACGTGCCCCGCCTCGCGTCTGCCCATCACGTTTGTTCAAGGACGGTCGAAAACGCATGCATTACGTACCTCAGGACCTCCTCGGTGGATTCTCTGATGGGATTTCAGTCCGTCCTTGAACCTGGAATCCCTGGAAGGACCCGGAAACGTTCGGTTTTTTTCCCTCTTTCTCCCGTCTGAACGTTGCAGACGTGACGCAGGGGACTGCGGTCGCTGCGGTCGAGAAACCGGAATTATTGCCTTCCTCAACGCTATTTCCTTCTTCGCTAGCATTCATCACAGAGATATCATTTTTCTTTCGAGCGTGTTCCGTCTGGAACGACGCCGACCGATCGTATTGTACTCTCGTGCCAATAAAATGGAGATTTCATTCCTCTGCCCCGTTCGTACGTTTTCTCCGTTCGTTTTCCGCGGATCCCTGAGACGCAGTTGCTCGAGTATCTGCTTCGAGTGGGGCTCATACAGCGAAGACAGGAGTTCAGAGATGTGCCTAAGAGAGCTCATAAATCGTCATGTAGCGTCGAGTGAAAGGCAAAAAGAGGCGAAAGTATGCGGCCCGTTACGTCATTTCATTCGAGTCGAACATGCTGATCGCTGCTACCGATTCTCGTCGGAGCATCGCAGGAGATCCGTCACCGTTAGGAACTCTCTCTGCATGTCAAATCGGAATCAGATTGCATTCCGACGAGTGGCCGGACTTGCTTCATCCGGGAACACGGATAAAAAAAGAAGATATTTCCTTGATGGAAACAAAATTCATAACGAAGAGTCGAAAGTGGTGCCGTAGGCTAGAGAAACACGAGGCGACAGACGTTTGCTCTTCTCTCTCCCTCCTCTCGACCTCGAAAAAAACACGTTTTCCCAATCACCTCATCACAGCCTCTCTCGCAGGCGAACGTGATGCAACTCTTTTCTTTGGCGGGTCGTCCCTCGTCCGAGTGAGGAAATGCGTCTCGGAGGGACGGCCTCAGTCTTCCTTTGGCAGCTCTGCGTCGTGAATCCTCATTCTGCATCCCTTTTCCTTTCCCTCACGTGACGAAAAAAAGGGAGAAAAAACCATGTTTTTCCTTGCCTTCTCTTACTCTTTCCCTCTGGCTCTCCTCGCAACGGCTGCATTCCGCGGTAAGGGATCGCTTTCGCATCTTCCTCTCTCTCCGCGCACACGTAATATATAGACCGTTCCGGGGCGGGGCGATGTCTTTTCCGCATCCTGGATTCTCATCGTTCGGGACAAACGATGCGACGTGCGTCGCATGCAATACGCATTGCGTCTTTCCTTCTCGTGGGAAGGGCTCATTCCGTGCACGCGCTTCCCTGCAGATTCCTAAACGCAACCGCCACTTTCTCTTTTATTCTTTTCTGCACGCGGGTGGGGTGGGAAATCTGACAGGCATGGAAGATCGGCTATCGGAAAATGAACTGCAAAAAAAAAAAAGATAAGGAGTTGCTGCGGATCCCACGGAATGAATTCCCTTGCAGGGCACGGACGCTTCGATGTTCCAGATCCCAAGAATTGTGCCATTCGCACGGCAAAAAAAAAAACTTTCTATCGCGCTCATTGATCTCTGCTTATACGATGTCGTTCGCGCTTTTCAATCGCCTGCGTCTCGAAGAAGACAGAATATGCGATGAAACCCTGTGAAATCGGGCCTTCCCCTCATCAGTTCCGTCGAGCTCCCCGATTATGTGATCACTCATCTTGGAATATTTCAATTTCCTGCTCCTGTGATCATCAGTCACGTTCTGAGTAAGAATGATGCTTTATCGAAGCCATACTCTCATTAAAAATGGAGAGTGAAGCACGGTCACCTGAGGCTTATGAGCCTTGCAGACAGGAAGGAGAGAGCCAGGTGGTAATAGGAAGGGGAAGCGTATAATACCAGGCTGCGAGTCCGCAATACCATTCTCGGAGGGGGGTCGCGAACCATGGGGTAGCAATAATAGATGCACCCCCCCCCCCCCCCCTGGTCAGCAGAGGTGTGACGAATCAAAGGTTCATCGTTAGCATATTCTAATAGCCCATTCGATTGCGCTTCTTTTCCGTGTTTCAGATTTTACCGATTTTGCAATGCAGCCTGAATTTTGTGCTGAATGATTCTGAGAAAGGGCGGTACGTTGACGAAATGGTTCGTGATGCCGTCCGGCCACCCCCGCATCACGAGCCTCTCGAAAAGTGACAGCTCGGATGCGGTCGGTGCGCCGCACTTCCTCTGAATCGTTCGGCTTGGAACAAAGCCGTGTTGCAAAATCGGTAAAATCTAAAGCAAGGAAGAGAAGCACAACTAAATGGGCAATCAGATACGCTAACTATAATCTCGGGGTCCGCCACACCTCTGCCGGCCAGCAGGGGTGCTGCTATTATTGCCACCCTATAAGTGAGGATTTCCAGGGAATTGTAGTGGCTTATGGACGAGAGCGGCCGAAACTCGCAATTTTAAGATATTTAAAAAGAAAAGGAAAGGTGACGATTTAATAAAAATAAAAAACACTTCACGGTGAGAGGAAGACGCATGCAATCGACGGACTGAAATTCGCAAAATGATGTTCCTTGGTGCCCCATCGGGAAGGAGTTGAAAGTCGAGCCCAGTTCCCGTCGAACGCGTTGGGAGGAGGGAGAGCGTGCAACGGAGAGGACCTCATCCCAGACGACCGCCAATGCGACAAATACTATGCGTGCAAGGACGGGGTGGAGGTGGAGGAACTCTGCCCGGACGGACTCGTCTTCAATCCCAACTACTCCGCGTGGCGGAAGAACAGCCCGTGCTACTACCCGCAGGAAGTGAGGTGCGGTCAACGCAGCCAATTACGTGAGTGGCTCCTGTCTTGCTTGCCTTTTCTCTTTCGTCGAATGTGCTTTCCCCGGAGGCAACGTGACTGTCGGTTTTGTCCAATGGTTTTCTTTCAGAGCCGGCTCAGCCGAGCAACTCTTGTCCTCGTCAATTCGGCCTGTTCGGCCTTGGGGACCCGGTTAATTGCGGCCAATACATCAACTGTGCTCATGGCAACGCCTACACCATGCCGTGTCCAGAGGGTCTGGCTTTTTCGGATGCTTTAGGCGCTTGCGAATGGCCGGATCTCGTCCCTTCTTGCAATGCCGAAGGTGAAATTATATCTCTGGTGTTCTTTTGTTTGGCCAGGAGACAGAAAACGTTAAGGGACTCTTTAGATTTAGGGGATGAAAGAAAAGCAATACTTGCGATTTTGATGAAAATTCACCGACATTTCTGGTACAATCGCGGGCCAATCTTGGATTAATTCCTTTTTGTTTGTTATTATGTGTTCTACTTTTCATCATTCCATAACGGTCTCCACGACTGATAGGCGCACTCTATATATGGAAAAAGGAGGAAGTGCACTGGTCCCTTTCTTCTTGTACCATAGAATCATGAGGATCTGTGCTAAGAGGGGAGTCGGTCGCCGTCTAATTCGAACTGGTTTTATTTCATAACCAACAGTTGATGCTCAATTTGGCAATTTTCTTACTTATTGCGGTGCGAGACCTCAACTGCAGAAAGTCGCTGAAATCATCTCCTTTTCCTGTCCAAATTACTCGAGCAACTTCTCGGCGCACTAATGTGCCTCTGTGTAGAACGCGATTCATGGCTTTCTGCAACTCACCTAATCACCACTTGATTTTTTTCGCACAGATATTTTGTACACGGATAATCGGATTTCACTGTACCTTCTCACTAATTCCTCTATCTGGTAACCCTAGATTTCTTGGGCTTCTCCTGTCCGGCTCCAGTCCAGCCAGGAGTGTTGGAATTCTTCCCAAATACCAATGATTGTACTCGATTCTGGGTGTGTGTCGAAGGGCGACCTCGGCTCCTATTTTGCCCTGAAGGAACCGTTTACAATCCCGATCCCCAAGTCCAGACCTGTGATGACCCACTCAACGTGCCCGGCTGCAGGTGAGTTCGTGCCTGCGTTTTCGTGTTCACGTCTTGACCTTGGGAATTTCATAAGCGAAAATGCACGAATGTCTATGTCCATTGGGAGTGCCTTGTATTTCAGCCAGAGGATAGGAGCCGCATCCGAGAATCGCCTCAGGTACTTCCAGTGAACAGCGCACACTGAACCCTGGGTTCACCTTTTTCCTAGAATGGATTCTGCATATATGCTTCAAACTTGTGTCCATCACTCGCATGACGCAATAATAAAGTTGGTTCATTTCACCATTTGGTAAAAAGACAACCGAACAATCAATAAATATGTCTTTCAATGAATCGGTGCCCAGGCCTTTTATTTAAGCTATCCACCATGAACAACATGATACGGTACTCACAAAAGATACAATATTAACAATATTAAAATTCTACTCTTAGCAAAAACAGAAAATATCTATATCACAGTACTTTTGGAATCAAGTCAGTTGAAAGAGCTCCTTCTTGGAACATATGCATACTTGATCCATGACATTGCAGCTTTCTTGAGAATATTCACGCGAAACTGTGACTAGAGAGGGCTTTCCAATCGAGCAAAGAAAATGCCATCCCGATGGGATACCCGTGACGACTGGTAAGCACTAACTATAACAGGTGAGGGGTACATTTCTGATTGAACGCCTGCACCAGAATTATGAATGAAATATGTGACAAATCTACTGTACCACCAGGTATCCAAGGTTACACGAATATATAGACCTGAACTCAGGAAAAAACTTGAAGAGTCTTCCACCTGGTTCTGACAATGACCTAGAGGGAGTAAAAGTAAAACGACAATATCCTGGGACATTGAACAAAAAGATGCAGCCCTGTGACAAAGAAAGATTAAGTGGAATGCCTTTCAATAGGAGTGACTAATTAAAATGACTTCTCCCAGACAATTAGTGACTCTTCAATCGCTGACTGAACACTTCCTGCTGACGCTCCTTCCATTCCTGTTTGGCATGCATTCGTTTCAACTGACCATCCCTGCAAAAAAGACAGGAAGAAAAGCAGCATTATCACTCCTTCCTGGTATGGTGCAATGCTACCACTCTGATAGTATTATTTGAGCTTTCACTAACAAGCAATGAAATTGTCACAAATTTTTATTAGCCCCTGGTAGCAAATATGCACAGTATGCAGGGAAGAAACCCAAGTCAGCAGAAAGCTTCCCATCGTGCACTGATAACCAAATGATTTTTTTTACAATATCATTCTGTATCTTATCTATGAGGGGCGATCCAAAAGTTGTAGGTTATATACCCTGAGGTAGTAGGAATGATCGCAGAGAGCTGAAATTTGGTTCCCATATTCATTTATCTTTTTCAGTAATTTCAAGGGATAGCAATTGGTTTTAGGTGCATATGTAATTTTAATAATAATTTGCATATAAGGCACATTTCAGTCACTAAAAATATCAGTTTCAAGTTGTAGCATTTTGAATGCATAACAATTTTTTATTAGTCTTTAGTGTTTAATCAATTCTTATGATACAAATATATTCACCACGATAAAACAGCTCATTCAATCATAAAAATTTTAAGCAAAACTTCCTGTGAAGTGACAATGAAGGTGAAACTGACAATGGTGTCTCTTCAGTGAAGCCATTTCAGCATTTTTGCTTAAGTGTGGAAAATGAAAATTTCTCAATAAATTTTAGGTAATGTTCCAACAATTTGTGTCCAGGGAGGTAATGCTGAAAAATAAAATTTGTTGAAACAGTCTGTCACATTCTCTTATACCTCAGGGCAGAAACTTTTGGATCATCCCTTGTATGTGTAGGTCACCAGGGTAGAATGCTAGTAAATCAGGCTTAGGACTAAATCACAAATGAATATTGATGGGAGCCACTCACCACACAAGGTCTACAAGCCCTCCTTGCTTGGCTATCTCTGCCTTGACTCGATTGGCAAAATTCACAGCAGATTCCCCTTCTGTCCTCTCCATTGGAGGAAGATACCATACATCAGCTACTATAGCCCAGCTGCTCATCATCATGGACAAATACTTCATGTAGCCATCACGATTGCTGTTCCAGAATGCATCTCCAAATCTGGGATCATACTATTAGACAAAAGAGAAAATGAGTTGCAATCAGAGTTAGACAAGTTTTGAGCACCCTTTCACAGAATGCCATGCTCACTTTAATTGCAACAGGATAAACTGGGCATCCAATTTCGAAGCTCCCCTTCTTGAACATCATGACTGATGTGTTGTTGATGCATGTTCCCTCTGGGAATATGAGGATTGGAGGCTTTTCTGGGTTATTGACGTGCTCCCGTAACTTAGCAGCCACAATGCTTCGATCCTTCATCTCTGATCTCTCAAACCAAATGTGGGATGAGGCTCTGCTCAATGCTCGTTGCATAACTCCAAGAAAACCCCCATGTCTCTGACCAACCTAACAATAAATACAATCAGACAAGACAGTCTTTGAGATGACCCCTGACTAAAAAAGACAAAAAAAAATTTCACTCACAAGGGCATAAACATTGTCACAAGCCAGTAGGAGAACATCTATGGGTGATGTGTGGTTTGCAACACATATTCCACCCTTTGGCTTATTCTCTGGGTTGTGAAATGTTATCACTCCTGTAACAGAAATATGAACAACTGCCTATGTTTTCAGTGAAAAACAAGGGCTAATGGCAGCACAATCATTAGCATACCAGACAAAGCTTGACAAAGAATGTGGAAGCAAATAAGAGACACTTTTGCATTCATCCAACGTTTGAGCTCTCCTTCTGGAAAATACCCAACCACAACTGTTGAAGTCACCAACCAGAAAATCTGGAAAGAAAAACAATTGGTAATGATTAAAAACAAGTTGCTATTTTATTTTATCTCTTTGGGCGAAGTGTTATGTAAAATATACAGAAAACCATATGGGATTGCTGCAATGATAGTGGACACACCAATAGGTGATGAGCAGAATGTATCAAGTTGCAGCAGCATTGAAGATCTTTGATTTCCCTTGATCCTTAAAACCATGGTTAAAACTACAGATCAATAAAACTCCCTCTTAAGTACTTCTGAATAAATATAAATCATACAATTCTGTGGTTCCAATCTTGGCTCTCATACATGCTACTAACCAGGGCAAATTGTGGGGCAGATAAGTGACAATCATATCTTATATCACTGGTTTTTTAAAGTTCACAGTTGTCAGATGATAAAAAAATGAAGTTAAGCTATAAGCTCTTTTTCTTTTGAGCATAGAAGTTTCATGAACATGTGCAGGTAACCCCTATCTTGTCATGCCCATAAGATAAATAAATATAGACAGAAATTATTACCAATGGCAGATGATGTTTCTAATCAGCAGGCTCTTTACCAGGGGATGAAAGGAAATAAAATGCATAATTTTTTGGGTGCTAAAATGAATACTAAAAAAAGAAATGTATGAGCCTCTACTTTCTCTACTAAGTTAATGGATACAGGCATGAATTGCACTCACTTTCAATCAAGACTGCAGAAAATTCACATAGAAATAATAATCTGACATACCAACTCTTGCAACTTGTAACTCATCACCAGCTAGCACCATAATTCAAGCAAAATTTTTGGATAACTCTTCCTAATTGGCAAAACTTTTGAGGAAACAACATGTATTTTTCTTGTCACCAGAATTTTGCTTCTTATCAAGAAAAAAATTCAGTGAAGTGTTAAGATACAAAGTTCACAAGCACTTAAAAGGAATGGTATTGAGGAGCACGATTTTTGTCAAAGTTGCTGCAAGGAGAGTAATTTTTCAATTCCCACAGAGATTAAATGTTTGAACACGTACTGGGTGTTGCACACAGATAGCTCCCCCCTCCACAGCCTAAACTACAAGAGCTATGAAAAAACTCATAACATGAGAAAGAGCATTCATTTTCGAATCTAAACATGCACTTCTCATAATCTGTATGCACCCTGGCTCTGTCTCTGAGAGCTTTAATAAGAGTGGGGTAAGATGAAAAGAGGCTGTCCCTTATGCTGTCAACCCGAGTGCATACTCGGCTGTGTGTGACGCTTTTACAGCGGTAGCCCGAGTATGTACTTGGGCTCTGAAACCCAGTCCTCTTAGGATGTTTCTCCTCTTTTATGGATGTAACTGATATATATTTGGTATTTAAAAAAAATAAGACATCCTTTTCTATACAACACTGCTTCACTTGTCAATGTATGCAACTTTTGGAAGCATTAAATAACAAAAATAAAATGCATATTCTATTGGCTAATTCTTTCAAAATGGCTTCCAACTCGCATAGTTTTGCGTTAGATGATGATGAAATAAATATATTTTAAAATGAGGCTTCAGGCATTTCCAGGCTTGGTAGTGAAAATGAAGGTGATGTAAAAATGGAGGTTGAAGCTGAAACTTGACGAAGATGAAGATTACAATGATGAGAGAGGAGTTTCAAGCAGGAATAGAGGTAGAGCAAGGGTTGAAAAACTGTTGATGTACCTGAGTTTAGGAAGAATCCCCATGCAACTCATTTCTTGACTTTTGCAGGAAATCCTGGATTGAAAATGAATATTCCAGACAATCTCCTTGAGATAGACGTTTCTGAACTAATTTTTATAGATGACCCAAGTCAATTCATATGTTTCTAGCAATATGTGCTCAAGGAAACATAAAATTTGCATCAGACCTTATTTCTAACACAACTCTAAGTGAATATTCAAGGGTATAACAATGGGAAAACCTCTCTGTAAAGGAATTTTGTAATTTTATTTTGGCACTGATTTCAATCAAAACAGCCTACTATTCAGTCTCACTGGAAACTTGTTATCATCCCTACTTTGCTAAAATCATGTCTGTCAGTGAATTTATATGCATCCCAAAATAGCTGAACCTTTCTGATAACACTCTGGCTGCTTCTGGAAATAAATTTTTAAACACATTTTGGTCTATCATCAATACTTTTCAAGATATGGCAATTCAAACTCAAATCATTGTTTGCAGAGACCCAGCGCAAATTTTATAAGCACAGTAGAGGTTGTGAGTGCATTTTTTTAAAACAGTGAAAGGGTTAAAGAGTTTAGTGTCATCTTCACGTCCTTCAACACCATGGTATTTGCAAGGTTTCCCAGGAGAACCCATGTTACTTGCCCTCCATGTGCATGAGCCACCCACTTTCAGATCAGGTGAGTGTCCTGGCTGTTCCACATTTCCAAAAAAATCAATCCCTGAGATTTTCAGCAATTGCCATGTGATCAAAGCTTTGGAAAATAGGGCTTCATCAAGCAGAAGCTGAATGTTTAATCTTTTTCAAAACTCATGAATGGGTAAGGAATTAAGCTTTGGCACCATGAGCTTGAAATGCTAAAGCATGGATGCAATCAATGAATTTAAGTTCATCACCATCATATGACATCAGAAAAAAAAACCAAAATTGGATGGAATAGATTCAAAATTAAACAAGGATTCCAAATATATTAAAAATTGTTAATAGCTCATATAGTTTAGGCTGCAGAGGGAGGGCTATCTATGTGCAACACCCTGTATGTCTCACTTCTATGTGTTGCTGCTTTAACACATTTGCAGCAAGATAGCTGAAATGAAAAATTTTGCCCAATACATGGGAAATTAATCCCAACTGAATAATAAACTTTCCATTATTAAATGCTTCTGGCTATAATTTAAAAAGCTATACTAATAAAAAATTGCAATTTCAAACATGAAACAGGTGACAAAATCAATGATCCAAAGTAAATCTGACTCACACCAGCACATGTGAGAAGGATGCGCATGGGAAGGAGCAAAGTATAACGAATCAAAAAGCCAATGAACCACAACACTGTAAGTTTCACACTGATGAACTCATAATTCAAGTTCGTCCTTGTCAGCAGGTTCCATGCCTGAAGAAAAGAAAACGTGACATTGTCCTTAATGAAATCTTGTGCAGGACAGACTGCTCTCATCTCAATAAAACTGATGTGAGAAAAATCACCTGAAGTTCTTCAGCTGCAAACCGCTTTGTAACTTCATCTTCAATGATTGCTTCCACTCCTGCCTTGATGTAGTCAAATGAATCTCCAAATTCAAAATGGAGTGTTTGAGTCAGCTGCCTTTCCAGCTGTTTTTGGGAGGAGCCTAACTTCTTAACCCCATCCTTCTGCAACAGAGACATTAGAAACAATAGATAGGTAGTACAGTAAGCTAACAGGGCATGCTTAATAAGATAAATTAAGGTTCCATTTCCATCCCAATTCATTTCCTTTCTAAGGCCCAAACCTAAAATTGTATACTTCATTTCATAGATTCAAAGCAAGACAACTGCTAAATGCAAAAGCAATTTCATAGTGACTCAAAATGATTCAATATATTCAGATTGCCCTTCTAGTGCTTCCAGGAAGCAAGCAAAATACAAAATCAATGCACTTAATTCTTACCTTTGGCTCTGCTTTATGAAGTATTTCTCCATTGGTGAGACCACCAGGCTCAGGAACAAGAACAAGCTCATCTCGAACTATCACACTTGAGGAGTGAGAACCTTCTGTAGTGGGTTCCGTAGCATCATATTCAGGCAAGTGTGCTGATGAAAACTGGCGCTTCTCATATGCCACCTGAATTTTTCGCCGCCCATACTGTGAAAATGAGAACTTATTTGTGGTAATCAGCTACAATATAAAAAAAAAAGCAAACAGAGCAGAGTTACCAATATTTTGCACCTCTATGCCATTACAAATCTTTGAGGCTGAGGCAATGCAAAAACTAACATGACAGAAAAAAAAGAGGTTTCCTGAGTTTAAGCAACCCGAGTCTGGTGCATAAGTAGGCCAAACCTACTGAGGACTGAGATGTACATTTAGCATACAACTCAACCAGGTAGGCTATACTACACATCCATCAATCCTTCCTCCATATCCTAGCCATGAACTCTTTCCACTCTGGACCAAAAACTGTAACAAATTCATATGCACAGAGAGAAGCAGCAATGTAGAATACATCGTTGGTGAGAGGGTAAGGGGCATATCTCTAAAGACCATTTGTTCTTGAATTTCACTTTAAGCATTTATGGGATAGGCACACTGATGAAAAGGGTTATGCCAATAGGTTGTTGGATCCATTCTTTTTTACCTTTTATTCATGTCTTCATGAAATGGGTGGGAAGGTTGGAAAGACCGGAGTGAAATGAACTGGAAGAACAATGGATGGAGACAATGGAGGGGACCTAATAGTGTTAGACTGATTTCTCTCATAGGCCTATAGCCAATTTTTGTAGTTTTGGGATATTAAAGAGTGATATTTGGCAAAATCTACTGATTTTGGATTGAATCCATTGCTTACACCTTCCACAAAGGTAGTTTCTCAGATTGTCTGATATGGCAGACTCAATGGAAGTAGTCCTTTATCTTTTCTCCCCTACCTATGGGGGTATGAATTCAATCCAAAAACAGAGTATTCATATCTTGCCACAACATGTTTTCAAGAAGACATATTGTTAATCCTAGTCATACAAAAGAGATCTGTTAATGACTTCATGAACCCAGAGTCTCATTCGGAAAGTCCTGTTGTAAGAAAATATGTATTCGGCAAAAGTACTTTCAACTATATGCTTATAAAATGGATGTTGTTCCAAGGTGAAGTTGATAAGTGTTTTTTCACTTCAGTTAGACACTTTTCCAAATGACTTCAACACTCATGCATGAGGAACGCCTCATGCACATGTGTCTGAGTCAACTGAAAAATTGTCTTACTCAAGTGAAAAACACTAAAATTAAGCGTGCATGAAGGTGTTGAGATGTCAAATTGTACGATACCCAATAATAAAAAAAAAGGGAAGAGTTCATTACATACACACTGTTTCCAGCATTATTCTGAAGCAATGGTTCATGAAATGGGCAGGTGGAGGACAGTAGCTGTGGCAACTGTGGGTACAAGTGTTAATGCTGCTGGAATTTTTATGCAAATGACAATACCTCTTCCTCCCTCATTTAATGGAAGTCCAGGCAGACTCGTTCTTAGAGACACTTCCTCAACTATAAGCCACAAAGTTATTTGGTTCAGCTTTAATACAAAGGCAATCAATTTTCACTTGGGATGTGCTTGAGATGCAGTCGATAATAGAACAAAAAAGGGAGTAATGACAATATTACGATACCCAAATTAATTCGTATTGCCATTCCCACTAGTCAACATTGTTTCTATAATGTAGCCCAGGAGGTACGGGTATATCTCTCATGACAGAAATGACATTAGGCCTATCGAGCCCATGATAAAAGTGGTACGAATTCACTTGCAAGCATCTGTAAACCAATAACCCGCCGTTGTCGGGACTCAAGCAACAAACTCACTTCAAAGAGTCGAACAAGGAGGTTCACAAATATTCGCCTTATCCCAAAGGATATTCCAGCGGCAGCTAGCAAAACAATAGTACCCAGAAGGGCAAGGTACAACAAGACGAACCAGAGGAGGCACCCGCCTATTGTAATAGTCGCCATTTTTCCTAGCGTGGAAGGATATCATCATGTCGACTTCCAAAGTTCTGCTCGGTGCACCTGTCCAAGTTTCCCCCCTGATCAGGGTGAGTTTTTGAATCTCTAAAACTAGGGAACTGTCGTCTTTATGTCGTTTAAGATTTGTATTAGGCCATTGAATCGCCACAGAACTGCATGCATTAGAGCTTTAGGTCCTGTAGTTTTAGATGTGAATTGGACATACTAGCAGATACAATAGTGAAGGCAATGCCCAGGGCAGCTTCCCCTTTGCAATAATGGGCAATTGCTTTCAGTATAGGCTATTTCTTTTATTCTTACAAATTTTTTGAGTTGTCTTTAATTTTAATTTCAAATAAAAATTGTAAAAATGATCTATATAGTCCTGATCTTTAAATGTAAAATATAGAAAGCGATTAAACCTAGCCTTGTATGGTGCCTAAATGGAAGAGTAAAATGCCAAAACTGCTCTTAAAGGGCATGGATAAACCAAAATTGGCTCACCTGCAAAAATAGGCCACCTGTTTCAGCAGGCAAGCAGCCATATTGACATCTTCAGAGCTTCACCTTGATTTCTGTGCCACATCCTGAGTGCCTTACAACTCTACAATTTAAAATATTGAAGTACATTGCCACTTATCACGTTTTGAATATTAGTAATATTTTAAATACGTTTTGAATATTATAATGGTAATTGTAACTCTCCTGTATCTGTCACACTTGAGTTCTCTTGAGAGTTGGCAAAAGTTTTTGACCATCACCTTTATTCTAAAGAACCTTAATTCTTGTATGGAATTGAATCATTTGGACATGGAATTTGATTGTTAATATTTGTAAGCTATCCACCCTCACTTTCAACATTAAGTTGCATATTATCTGTCTATAGAAGCACTCTGTTAAATGTTATATCAGATGGGTGTCCCACCTGGAAATGTAGCAGATCTTCCCTTAAAAAAAAAAAAAGATACTGCAACCATGCTTTGGTTTCATTCATTTAATACCATATGTCTGGAAAACATGTTACATTTAGGACTCAATCTTAGAAACAGTCACACAGGATACAATATGCATACAGGTGAAACATTACAACCGCAGAAGTTATGATGGACTGAGGTACATGTTATGTGAAGAATCTTGTGCCCTCCATGTGGCATCCATTGACTTGTAGGCAGTAATGTATGTTAGAGACCAAGTGCTCCATTGCTTGATGGGATTTGGCTGAAGTGATATCCTGGATAGCTGTGATGATGGCAGCTTTCAGCTGCTGGACATTTGCAGGCTTGGTGTAGTACATGTTTTTCAGAGTGCTCCATAACCAGAGTTCCTGACCACAGTCATGCACACTGCCATGTAGCATCATTCCTCCATCGTCAATCGGATGGCTACGTTGTCCTGACTAGTGATTTAAAGCTATGTCAATGTTGGCTACAAATCATAACACTAGTCTGTTCATTCTAGCCTATGATCAAAACACTGGTGTGTACTTTGTTTACAACTTTGCCACAGCAAACAGGTTGTGCTTATGCGAGTGTTTTCAAGACTAAGCCCAAAATGTAACATGTTTTCTGGACATATGGTACTATTTGTCTTGGTGACCTCCGTTATGAACATGATTCAGGATCAACATCTACAAGGCAACATCATTTCTTCACAGAAAGACCAAAAATGCAGAAGAGGACTTGTGTATCTGGGCTTGGATGATGGCAACACTGGCTGATAATTGAATGAAGAGGAATATTCACATTCAGAGGCAGCCTTGATGACATCAACATGATGGAATAAAGCCCTCTTCCAACATTTTAATAAATTACATCAAATTAAATATTCATGAGTTGTAACCCTTGTCTTGTGGGTAGTCGTGATGAAAGACTGAGGTTAATAGCTTTCAGCAAGTATCACATTCCCCTCTGGTTACCACAATTGCCTCAAGGTAATTATGATAATTGGATCGTTCTTTCTCTGTAAGAAGAGCTCAGTATTTGAGAGCCACTGAGGCAGGTCAATAGTGCCTTTTTTGTTTAAATCAGTTCTGTTGTTTTTTTACTCTATCCTCTTGCTTCCTTTGTTCTGAGTTCCAGGCATTTAGATTTTTATGTATCATTCAAATTCCACTCATTGTACCAAATAATCCAATTTTCAGTAATTATAGACATATGATGGAAAGCACACAAACCACTAGCAATAGATTCAGTGAAACCATTCAATGTGGTTCAGTCCTTTTTCTTTCTCAACTTTATACACAAAAAAGCTTAGGATTCAAGAAACAACAGCAGGCCATTGATTTTTACAAACAGTAATTACTCTGAGTACTTTACTACTTGCAAGACTCATTCAGCTCTCAACTCTCCCTATGCAGTTTTCCAGAGGCATTTTCACCATGAAATGAAAGCTGAGAATTTTTCAAGATGTGATTATGGGTTAGGTCAACTTGAAAAAACTTTTGGCTACCATTAATCCTTCACCTCTTAACCATTTATTGGAGATGATGCTCATAGTTAAATGGGTACTGTCCAGGAGATCACTCATAAGGTATATAATTTGCTTGGGTGAAGCATTTACCTGCTCCATTTGTTGCTTAATGCACTCATGTTACCAGTTCGGGTAGAAGTTTGATTCATTACCCAACCTAGGTTAGTAATTGATATGACTGCCTAATCTCTTATTTGCTGATACACTTGGTCAGTTATGTGACTTCATGGTCCTTAAGGTTAGATATTTTGACTATTTTCTCATCACATGTTTAATTACCCTTTAGGCTGGGAGATGGTCAGCCTTGATCATAGGCTTCATCTGGGGTGGACATAGACTGAAGGTGCACAAGAGAGAAGAGGAAATTTTCAGAGCTGCTGAAGCTAAACGCAAAGCAATTCGTGATGTACATATGGCAGAAGAGAAGAAAAGGCTTGCAAAATGTAAGTATGTCCCACATAAATGGGACTGTATTTATTGAGCTATCCATACTATAGTTTTTATATTTTGTTACTTAACAAACAGGTCTAATTCCTAGTAGGCATTGCTTATTGTAATTGTGGCAGAGGGTTGTCCCCAGCCATCATTATGACCTAGATTTGACTCAAAGGAGCCAAGATATCCCTAAGAGACTCCTATGTTAAAATGATCAGTTTTTTCCATCTTGTGGTAAACTTCTAAAACAGACAAACCAGACAGATGGTATTACAATCATTTTGTTTCACATGCTCCATCTTTATGATGCAGATCCAGGGCCAGCCATATTGCACAATAGAACATTCCGAAACATGACCATAGCCCATTGTCATTGGTTTGGTCAAGTAGAGAAGGAAGCCAGATATTTGGATAATATTTGTTTCAACTTTGCAGAGTCATTTTATTATTGTCCTTTGAGCTTATGCTTTTACTACAGGTTTCTCATTATTGACCCCCTGAAGGATCAAATCCTTACTCTCTCAAACTGCTGCCATGGTGCAGTTCTTGCTTGTTTGCCTATGACAGATAAAAGCAATGCAATTTTTGATGAGATTAGAATTGATGTACTGATGCATATCAAAGGCCTTCAATTATACTGTGATAGAAGAATATATTCTTCTACAGCTTCAAATTTTACTCAGTGAAAAGGGGAATATTCATAGTACAAGGTAGGCATGTTATTGTTGAACAGGCCTGGTCTAACACTTCCGTGCTTTACCCTGCAGTGTTCTTGCAAATATGTGTTTCTTTTATGTAGAGAGAAGATAAATTGGTATAGTATGAGTAATGGGAAACATTGTATTTAATTTTTGAGCTACTTAGAAGCTTATCCAGCATTTTCATGTTTTTCAAATGTTTGTTTAGACATGATTTTTCATGCTTTTATTGTTCCTTGGTTGTCAAATTTCTTTGTCTTTCTTTTACAGTGGAATTCCAGGAGTTAGGAAAACAGGCTGGCATACCTGATCTCGCAAGGCAGGCTGGAATCCTAGATTAGTCCTCAGTGCAATTATGTTATTACTTTTGAGATGTGAGTGAGTGCTTTGTAATGTTTCCCTCTTTGGAAATGTCAGTCAATAAAAGAATGTAGCTTTCCCTAAACCTCAAATGTCTTTGGCCTGAGAGTCACGTGACACAGCAAAAGCATAACCATTTGGTCCAAGAAATTCAAAAGTCAACCCTGAACCAATGCCATCCCATGAGCATTACATTTTTTTCACCACTCCTCCTGCACTAGGGCAAATGCATTTCACCAGGAAGTATCAAAATATGCTACTGTATATTCCTTGCACTGTAGTAGAAGGTACACATGATAATCACAAAAAAATCAGCTAAGGTTCATGTGTTATCCTTTCTTCATCATGTGGAACAAGCTTGACTTGATAAGATGATGGAGCCCAGGTGACAGCCAATATCCCATTAGAATCCAACTGCTGGTCCGATGGTACAGAAATAAAATAGTTTGAGATCACATGGACCAGGAAAGCGAAGAGAAACTGCTTGGCTAGATTTTCCCCCAAGCACCTTCGAGGACCTATTGGATAAAACATTAAAGTGACATTAAATATGGGCTGCAACCATCAGCATTGCACTGTTCTATTTTGGAATATACAGGGTGGGGTGTAATATTAGACCCCCCCTTCAGAAATAATGAACATCTGATGACTTAAGACACACCATGACTAAATTATATCTTGAGAATACAGACATGCAATCAATATTTTGTTTGGCCCCCATTTGCTTGCCGAACAGCATCCTGTTTGCTAGGGTTGGATTCCGGCAAAGTCTTGAAGAGATTACTCAATTCCAAGGCTGTACCGATGCATCAGCCGCCGGTGTTGCACCATCAGCCAGGTTTGCTTTCCTTTCCCAAAGGGCAAAACTTACGAGAAAAAAAAGTAGTGAACGCGGATAGGCGCAGGCCGTCCAGTCTCACTGAAAGTCACTCCTTTCTTAGAAAAAAAAATAATAAATCGGATTATATTTCAGCCCGATTCTAGGAACCAGCTGAGGAAAATAGAGGTAAAGAACATGAAATCATCGCACCTCCTTTTTTGTTATGCTTTTGCGAGGGCTGCTGTCGTTAAATGCTCTAAACCAGTGGTTCCCAAACCTCCTTTTACCCGTATTGAATCTTCATGAGTCCGGTGGGTCGCGACCCACCGTTTGGGAACCGCTGCTCTAAACAGCAACAACAGGTAACAAGCTAACCACTGACGGACACAGACAGGATTAAAATTGTTTTCTATAGGTTTTAGGAGGTCCACTGACGAGTATCACATGGCTTCCAAATTGGCCTGTTTGAATTAGTATGCGGGTCTGTCCAAGTTGTCGGACGTGACATCCGGAGTAATATGTTTAGTATACAAAATGAATTTAACTATATTATAGATGACAAATCAGCATATAAAGGCTGCAACAATTTGCTTTGGGTAGTGACTGAAAATTTTATAATCCAAAGTCTTACACTCTCTCTTTTGTTAGAAGTGTACCTATGTGCAAGGAAAAGTGTCAGACGTGACATTGTGAACCCTCAAATTAAAGTCACTTCCTCTAATGTTCACATATCTGTCATCTAGCGGACTCTAATAATTTAGTTTCATGTTCATTCTAGAGATTGAATGAAAGCCTGGAATTAGTGTATGTCACCCCAAGATTACAACACTTGAAACAGAAAGTAAGCCTATTTCGTGACAGTGTCGGATGTGACAAGTTCTGAAAATGTATTTTAAATCGGGAAGTCTGTACATGTCTTTTAATTTTATTTTTAAGATAACATTCAAATATGAACAATTGACATCTACTCTTCACACCTGAGCTGATTTGAAATTATCAGTATGCATGGAAAGCCCATGCTGGCATCTGTTCCAGTAGTCCAATTCAATCTCTCCAGATTTGCATTTTCATCCCATTTTTTTAGTATTATGAGAATGGTATGAATAATATATCATGATCATGACTAATTCTTTCATTTTTAATGTAATATTCTTTCATTCATGTCTTCCGGGAAAAGAGATAATGAACTTCTGTAGAAAAAGTAATATTTGCATATTTAGGAAAATTTCCGGCAAAAATCCGAGGACCACGCCAAGTGGTCCTCGGATTTTTGCCGGAGTTCCGTGAGTCGGCATGGGCGGACTTTTTCCACGTGAGGCGGTGGTATTTTGCTTAGTCATGACGTCATCTGATGCCAGATTTCAAGTCTCGGCGCATACCAGTAGTCTCCTTTACACGGCTACGTCATGATGGGCCCAACGTACAGACCAGGAACCTATTTGGGGGCGGAATACTGTAGGCATTGAAATGTGTAGCGACTCATAGAGGGAACATCCGTCTCATAAAGGTTAAGGTCTAGCCTTTCCTGCCGCCTTTTCGCATCTATGACTTATATTGTAAGATTCCAGTGTTTCAAAAGTACTGGAAAATTTATTCGGTACAGCAATAAGAAAATCTACGTCGTCTCTCCCCACCTTCCCTTTTTTTTGTGCCTATGCTCCCCCATGGACATTTTTCCTTCCTCTGTTCTTCCTTCTGCTCAGGGTAACATCATAGCTCCCGATGTTTCGGCGGATAGTTCTATCGGTGTGTTTACAGAGACCACGCCTTTCAAACCGAGCAGGTACGAATTAGGTATATAAAAAAGTTCTCCAAGGCATACCGACAATGAAGGGGATGAAGCCTGACTGTATCCGTATCCTTCCACTTTCATCCAGGTGTCTCTCTGGCATGAATTTATCGGGCTCTTCCCAATGCATGGGGTTCCTTAGAGCGGCGTAGATATTGCTATACAGGTAGGAACCCCGAGGAATTTTCTGGCCGTTCAGTACTCCAGCTCCGGACGTGTTCGCATGGCAAGCAACTGGAACGATGGCACCGATTCGAAATACTTCCAACATCGTCGCAGTGGTGTAAGGTAGCTTCTCCCTCTCCTCGTAACTGCATTACAAAGGATGATTCGAGAAATGTCTCTATGGCGACATCAGATTTCTGCGCAATTACAAGAATCTATGCTGGAACTTCTGTTGTCGAAGTGGATTTTCATTTCATAAATGCAGGAAATGAGAATGGAAGAAGAATCTCTGAATGACTTTGAATACCTGATTTCACAGTTTGCCGTCGTCCTCCAAGAATCCAGTTCCTCCTGGAGCTTGGTCTGCACGCGAGGATTTTGAGCTAGGCAAAGGATGGTCCATCTGAGGGCGCAATAGAGAGGATCCAGCCCTCCCACGAGGATGTCTCTTAGGCATGCCTCCAGTTGAGGTCCTGTGTGTCGTGGACATCTTGAGAGATTTTTCGAAGCCAGGAGGAATTCCTCCCGGTCCAAGGAGATAGATTGTCTCACCTCGGTATGCATCCTCGTGGGGCTTGAGAGATCCGATAGAAACGAACTCCCCCGTCAATCCCCCATCCACTTGGTTTAAATCCGCTTTCTCTGCTGCTCTGAGGCAATGCTTTACGGTCTTCAACATTCGGAAGAAGTTCATGAACAAGGAAAATGGGTTCCTTTTCCATGGAACGAGGAAAAACCTGCATAATGCACGAAATTTCAATGTTTTTCAGTTTCAAAATTCCAAATTTGAATTTCTGTTTACGGTGTGATGAACATTTTGTTTTACAGTATGGGTCAAAAGTATTCCAACTCGAGCGGACTGGGTTCATGGTTTACTGTCCCTAAACTATGTTTCCCTCCATCATTTAAACAGCTTAAGGACATTCCAACAATACAGCTAGTAAGATGTAGCCTGTGTTACTCCAGCGAATGCATTGTATGGTGTTCATACAATGCTGACTGTGTTTGGGATCAACATCAAACTACATGAAGGTCCATGAGCTATCTTTGAAGGTCCGGGCGAAAGCCATCGGCATGATTGAGGTCGGAAAATCATACAGGGAGGTTGCTGGCATTCTTGGAGTGCACTCAGCAAGTGTCAGCCGCTGGTGGAAACACCAGAAGTCCAGAAAGAGCCTCTATTCAAGGGCTCGTCCAAGACATCCAAAAGTCCTTTTAACCTCAGCAAAAATGAACATATGCAAAAGTATCAGGAAAAGAGGCATGTTCGGCAGGAAAATGACCTCCAGATTAAAGAATTTTGGCAAAAAAAGGGTATTTCATAGCAGTCCAATGCAATCTTTAAAATTATATTGATGCCAAGGCCTAAAAGAGGTACAAGAAGCTCTTTCCTATGGACGCCATTTAGAAGCATATGAAGTTTGCTGTGGAGTACAGATACTGGACCTGTGAGGACTGAAAATGTATGGTATGGTCAGATGAGTCTGTGCTTCAGCTTTTCCTGCCATTCAACCTACAGTGACAGGATCTGGAGCAAAAACCGTGCCTTTTCCCCTTCCGTTACCACAGTCAAGCACCCACTGAGGATCATGGGGTGATGGATGTTCCCTCATCAGGCTTACTCAGAGCTCCATGCGATCCCACCAAAACAGTTCACGAGCACGATTTATCTGGAGAACATCCTCTAAAAGCCCTGCCTGGATGCCTTCAACAGGATGACCCCAGGAGGATTAATTCTGGAGCAGTACTTGGTTGGAAAAACGTCAGAGGCCATCTTCATGCACGACAATGCCCCTTGTCATGCCTCCAAAGCCATCACTACCTGGTCTTAGAAGAAAATGCCAGCATTCTGGGAGAAGGATCAGTGACCAGGCAACAGCCCCGACCTAAATCCCATTGAAAATCTCTGGCAGATTCTCAAGAAAGTCAAGACGATGAAGCATGCCACAAGCTGCAAGCAGCTCATCCAGAAACTCAAAAATGCATTGGTAGACTTGAATCCAGGCATTCGCAAAAGTGTAGTAAGAGGTATGCCTTAGAAAATGCAGTTTGTTATCTATATGGAGGGAGATGAGATGACAGTAAATGAACCAGTTTCATCACACTCTTAGGAGGGGTATAATTTGAAATTTTCCCATGCTGCAATACTTTTGACCCGTAGTGTAGTTGCCGTCTCCTGCCTCCCCCCCTCTTTCGGGACTGGAGTGATACATATTTTGTTCCCCCTTTGAAATGAATTGCCCCATTTGCATGGGCATTATCACTCACCCAAAACTTCGTGGCTATCGTTGTACGCATGTATAATTGTGATATGATACTGTACTGAAACAGTGAACATTTCTCATTGAATTCCAACTACTAGTTAATTGAACTCGATTAAGTACTGAAAATCGCTTTGAATATCGGATCTAAGCTGCACCACTCCAAAGTTTTGCGAATGCAAGTCATGGCAATACTTCCTTCTTCACGATTCCGCGCTGTCATTTGCTGCATTTTACTTTGAAAGTGAAATTGATAGACCTTACTGTAACTCAGGGATGTAACTCGGGATATTGACTTGATTGGCGACCTCCAAAATGGCCTGGATCTGGTCCGTGGTTTGTGCCATGTCCAACCCAGAACTGTGGTACAGCTGCCCCAGCATCAATCGGCCCACAATCTTCCCCACCGTCGTCTTCAGTTCCGCGTCCACGTTCGCCGTCTTCCCCGCAGAAGCCTACCGCAGAAGGAGCTTCGGGCTTCAAAACACCTCGAAGATGTCGCTCCTTCAGCCGACGCCCACGCGAATGGGGATCTGGGTATCGTACCTGGAGGCGGGTGCAGAGTTCCTTCATTTCTTCCTCCATGTACCAGCCGAAGTTCCCCTTGCAGGCGTTCTTGAAATGCCGAGCAACAAATGTCTTTTGTAGGTTCCGGATCGTCCCTTCTCCAAATACGATCCCTGATAATAAAAGTAAATAAAAAAAACGGTGGAACACGGCATGAACTGACTTCGTCATCTCGAATGATTAAATGTTCCTGTCAGGAAAATTCCACAGGTGCCTGCACATCTCAAATACAGGCTGGTTCCGACTGCATTTCCTAGTGGGAACAGCTCACTCTCGAATCCGATATCGCTTGCATATACTCATATGTTTTGCATATGAGTAACTTATGAAAACGATCAACGTTCAACTGATGAAAACGCGTTCCCTACGCCAAGGTGAAAATCAAGCTCCAATTACTGCATCGTACTTAAATAATGATGATTATTTTAATTGTAGAAAATGCTTGTAAGCTTTCCTCGTTCTTTTCCGTGTCATGTTCTGGTTCGAGCTTAGCCTACAGCTGTATTTTACTTTCCGGTTTTGACCCGACTCAATGTCAGACGTTCGAGGAACAATGGCGCCGTTCAATGAATCCACAAATTTTTCTGTCCTCTTCCTTTGGACGATGTTACATAAGCACGCTTTGAGAGTTGATTTATCTCCAGGAAAGCGAAAGATGTCGTTCAAACCTTCAAATCTGGATTCAAGTAGGTCACCTGGGTCCTCTGCGAGTACATTGTCCTACCTTAATAAATGCATGCACCACTCGCTCACTTACACAATCCGTCATTTGGAAAGGAGGAAGTCAACAGCTCACCCTCGCAGAGGATGTGAAAGTATATAGAATAATATTTTGACAAAAGATTTTTAAAGGAACTGTCTCTGGTTTTAGAAAGCTCCACCCATGTGACAGAATCGCGACCCAAGAAAACCGGCATGAGGAAAGTTGAATCGTAGAATTAGTTCCGGGAAGAACTAATCCGGCAGATCCAGAAGTAAATTTCTATTGAATCGTTTCCGTATTCCGGCACCGGTACTCACCTTGATGGCCACCGATGAGAACGAGAAAGCTCTGCGGTCGGCCACAGAAAGCTTTGGACTTCCCCAACGCCTCCGAGATGTCCCGATGATCGTTGAGGACGTAGAGCCTTCGATTCAGTCCAAGTGGGAGACACAGGAACCGCCCCATTCCGGATAGATCTTTCATGGGAATGCGGCTCGCGAGGAGATTCCAGCAGGGGCGAAAGTACTCGGGCAGGCTGCTGGGACTCACCAGGTCCTTCACAAAGGACCAGATGTAGAAGAAGAGGCAAAGGCAAACGCCGAAGAGACTCAAACTCAGCAGCACCATATTTGCCTGCTACTGTGGCCTTCTGACTTGCTCTTATGCGATCCGGCGGTCCATGAGGGAGGAGGAGGGAGAGAGACAGGTGCGTATGAAAGTCGAGGGAGTACGCAGCGGCCTCCCTTATGTTCTTATTGACATGCCGTAGAGCGTGTAAGATTATAAACGCCCTTACGCAGCGAGACGGGGATGGACGGTCCTGGCGGTCACTACCTTAGGATTAGAACCGTTTCTGATCACCCATTTGTTTCCATTATTCCACTTGGCATTGCCGACACTATGCTACAACCGGTCTTACACGTCATGAATAAAGACCCTGCCGGGCATTTTCTTATTGAAGTATATCAAATATGAGCATTTTAGGGCGGTTATGTAGCTTCGTTTTAGACGGAATGTTTTGTTTTATGAAATTGGTTAGATATTAGGAGCACACAGTGGCAGCTCGTGGTTCATGTAGTAGGGTAGGCCAGTGACGTAGTCAGGGAAGGGGGGCTGTCCTGGCTCCTCCCCCCCCCCTCCTCCTCCCTCCCTTAACTTCAACGTGTTGGGCTTCGTCTGTTTGAGGCCTGTTACCGAATTGTCTGTTTTTTCTCCTTCACCATCGCTTCTTATTGCAACCTTTCGTTCGTCGAGCTTCTTGAGTGGGATATGTTTATTCCCTTCTTTTGCAACTATCATTGCTCTGAATTGCTTCTTAAAATTAATAATTAAGTTTCTTAAAGGTATCAATAATGTCCTTATACATTTTTAGACGTTAGTTTCCCGATTGACATGAGCGAATAATTTAAATTCCATCAACCATTGGATGGTTCCGGACCAACTGCCTCTGAATCGTCCCACGCAGCATCTCCCATTTTTTCATGTTTTCGTACCAGACCTTACGGAAAGCAGGAGTTTCAAAATTTGGAGATTTGGCGAGGACCTTCCGTTCTCGAGAATTTCTCTTCCGCCTCTTTTCATCACTTCTCGGAGAAAGCCTAATTCTAAAAACCTAAAAGTCATCAATGGTGTTTCCCGCAAATAAGATCGGTAAGGGAAACGTGACACCAGCTACACGAACCCTATTGTATAAGTCACTGCAAAAGGGGAAGCCCGGGAAGGAGGGAATAACATTTTTGGAAGAGGGAGATCTGAAGGAATAAAATACCTACGTGGGTCGTGGTGCTGATAAAATACTTGCTGATAAACAGGTAAACAAAACTGAAAAACTAGCCTTGCAGGATTCTAATTTCATCGGAGTTGGAGTAGGGGTGTGGAAGAATATCTGGCAATGCTGCTTAGATTTGGCAACGTAGCACTCAGGCCTCTTTTCTCCGGCCTAAGGGGCAACACCGACTGCAAAGAGCTGCGTTGGGACCATTGCGACCGTCGCAGCTCGTCGCAGTCGGTCGCAGTGGAGATGCGTGGGACCTTCGCAGTCGGTCGCAGTACGCTTCGCAATGGAATTGGAGGAGTCTTTTCCTGTCGCATCTTCGCAGTGGTTCGTGCTGCGTGTCTATTGACCGCAAGTTATGGAATCCTTGGATGCTTAATTTGGCGGCTCTTTTGGTGGAACATCGGCGGTAGGTGATGCTGATGATCACCATTGAATGAACGAGATATATAGCTGGCTTAAATGCGAGGGACGGTATGAAAGTAATGCACGTTAATTTTTTCCCTCCGTAACTTTTTATTGAAAATTCGTGAACATTTGTAAGGAAAATGACAGCCCCCTACTGTACATACAGCCATTTTCCCACATGGTCTCCATCCCTTTCTAGGCATTTTCTCCACTGAATTACAAGAGCGTCCATGCCGTTGCTGTAAAACATCTGCAGAGCCACTTGCGCACCGTGTCCTTTACTTCGTCGTCGCCATGTAAGCTCTGTCCTAGAAGTCCATCCTTGAGCGGGCCGAAGAGGTAATAATCTGATGGTTTAAGATCCGACCAATGACTTCACTCAGCTCTATCGTCATGTTGCCTCGATCGGCGAGAGAGTCCATTCCTCGCGAATCTCTGGTATCACTGCCTTGGCAGATTCTAATCGCCAAGTGGCGCAACTTCTACGAGCTTCTGATCGCATGCAGTACGGTGGGGGGGGCATCTCTAACCTTAGAGCTGCCAACTGTCGATTTTATCGACGGTTGGTAGTTCTAGGGTTAAGGACCTGAGACGACTACCGTTGCAAAAAGGCACTTTATAGGGCCTAAGGCTGTATTTTCTACTTGAGAAAACGCTCATCATATCCTCATTCTGGGTACTAGCTGAGGAAACGAAGGATTGTTCTCGTGGACACTCCATAGAACAGTGCGGTCGGACCTTTTCCTGTATTGTGCAATTTAGCGCATCCAGGGGAAGATCACCTCCAAAAATGTACTGTTTCCTGCCTGTCCATTATACAGATACTGTATTATGAATAGGTAGAGGGTAAAACCAGTACAGGCTTCGTCCTGTTGATGGGAATGTCTGAG